CAACGGTTAGGATACCTGCCTTCCAAGCAGGCGACCCGGGTTCGACTCCCGGCTGACGCAGGTCCGCTGATTAGAAGCAGTTGTTGGGTAGTGCCTTTTTTGCACGATGAACATACACCGTCACCTACGGGTGAACTACACAAAGATGCATAGTTAAACTTTCACACTGTCGCGTACAGCCGTGCTCCCGCTGTCCCAGATGCACTAGATTTTATCATGGGAGGCAAAAAGCAAAGCAATGAAGAACATGCGTCAGCCGGGAGTCGAACCCGGGTCGCCTGCTTGGAAGGCAGGTATCCTAACCGTTGGACTACTAACGCTTACAGGACCTCCCCAGCTATCATCATCTGGTGTTTTTTACCCAGTATAATCGCCTCACACGAACCACTTGCAATAAATAAAACAATAAAAAAAACTATTTTGAGTTAGTTCAAAACACGCAAGATAATACAGAGCTGCAGACTTCATCTGTAGGAGCAGCTGTCGGCGGCGCGAAGAAGAACACTGCAGCCTCTATGCTTGAAGCTGCGGCATATATTAAGAGCGCCTGCATGAATATCATTTACTTGTATTTTAAAACTATTCTCAACCACTCCTGTATTATATTTGCACGGTATGCCGGGTTGTCTTCGCAAGGCTGCGACTGGGAGCGCCTGGGGCCCCGGGGCCCCGCAGCTCTTGGAGTGCGAGGCAACAGCTGCCCTCGTTGTTGAAAGAGATTAATGTTTTTAATTTTGCATTTATTGGTATTTTCTTGGGCTGTTGCAGCGGCAGTTTCATTCTCCTATACTACAACACTGGGGGGTGTAGAGGAGTCGCGGGTACCGAGGCGCAGCCGAGAAAAAGTTCTTCTCTGACGTTTGCTGCATTATGTGGTTTTAACTCCTTTATTGCGCATCGACTGAAATGCGTTAACTGTTTTTCTTACGGAGGAGCAACAAGTTAGGGGGGAGATTCTGTGTAGAGGCGTAAGAAGTTCCTCGGATGGATCCCGACTCCCGATGCCTTATTAACTAGCTGCGCAGCAGCAGCAAGTAAGGCGATCTGCTGCCCACTCGTGCACTGGCCTGCTGATGTGGGGGTTGTTTGGTGTTGCTTCGAAGCAGAGACGGCTGCATGCGGCGCGGTTTTGTTGCTGTGTGCGTGCATGTCTCGTGCCGCTGCCGCTGCTGCTGTTGCTGCTGCTGCTGCTGTTGCCGCGGCGCGGAGCTCCCTATAGATATGGGGGCGCGACAAAGAGAGGTGCCGGAGGGGGAGAGGGGGCGCTTGCTTTTATGGTGAGTCCTTTACGTAGGGGGGGTCTCCGGGGTCGGTCTCCCCAGGGGCCCCCAGGGCCCTCAACTCCCCACCAGGGATTTGAGGGGCCCCTATGCAGCTCTTTTTTGCATTGTTTACATGGTGTGCTGAATCCCAGCACAAGGAGCTTATGTGCTTCTGCTGCTGCTGAGGCAGCATTGGCGGGGGGACAGTCATCTCCAGATATGCCTGCCAAGCCGTGGGCTGCTGAACAGGAGTTCCTGCATGCGCTGCTGCTCCAGGTGCTCACGCTGCAGGTTCGCATGCAGGGCTTGGTGCGGCAGCAGGAGCAGCAGCGGCAGCAGCAGCAGCAGCAGCAGGACCACGAGCAGCATCAGGGGCAGCAACATCACGAGCAGCAGCAGCAACAGCGCCAGCAGCAGAAGCAGGGTTGTTGGGGGGCTTCCAACCCTTCGTCTTCTGTGCCTGTGCTGCACCTCTACAAGAAGCAGGACGGCTCTTGTGTCACTGCAGCAGACTGGGCCTCCCAAGTAGCGATCCTGAACACCTTGCGGCAGCAGTACCCCACAGACAGCTTCATTGCTGAGGAGACAGCAAATATCTTCGCTCCACTTCTACCGCCTGAGGCCCTCTCCGGGGGAGGACAATCAGCAGACGGCGGGGTAGAGAGCGCCGATGCAGCAGCAGCAGCTGCAGCAGCGCAGCAGCAGCTCCTCAGCGAGCTAGGGCTTCCAAAGCAGAAGCAGGGAACAGAGTTTATGAACGGGGGGCCCCCCTCTCACCATGCTGCTGCTGGAAGACTGGCGCTGGGAGCCCCAGCCCCAACTAGATCTCTTGCGGCAAAGGGTGACCGCATGCAGCTGCTGCGGGAGGTTGTGTGGCTGCTGTCTGAGGGGGCCCCTCAGCACCTGCTCTCTCTTTTGAAAGACGGGCTCAAGGAAGACCCTGCAGCAGCAGCAGCAGTAGCAGCAGCAGCAGCAGCGGCAAACTCGACTGCAGCAAGAGCTGCGAGAACGGAGGACCTGAGCAGACACCTGAGGGCACCTACGGAGGAGACAAGGATCGGCAACTGGGGGGGCCCTGCCACCGTCATTTTCCTAAGGGGGCTCCAGCGGCTGCTGCGGCGTCCGGGTGTATCCGAAAGGCAGGGAATACCTGCTGGCACGTCAGCAGCAGCAGCAGCAACAGCAGCAACAGCAGCAACAGCAGCAACAGCAAGAGGGGACATGAAAGATGCGCAGCAGATGCGCTGCTGGCTCGTTGACCCCATTGATGGGTCGCGAGGTGTCTTTGGAGAGGAGCGAGGCTTTTGCTTTTCAACAGCTGTTGCTCTCTTGGTAGGCCCGCAGCAGCAGCGGCAGCAGCCGCAACAGCAAGAGCAGCAGCTGCAAGACTACCGGCAGCAGCAGCGCACCTCTTCTTCACTCCAGACGTCCATCCGGCCTCAGCAGCAGCAGGAGCAACAACAACAACAGCAGCAGGAACAGCAGCAGCAGCCAAAGGTAGTGCTGGCTTCTATCTGCTGCCCTTCCTACGACTTGTGGCGCAGCAGCGGCAGCAGCAGCATTTTGCCGTTCTGCACACCCACGGGCCCTCTGAACCCTTTGCGCAGCGACGGTGCTCCGTCTCCCGACCCCTCGGAGCCCGCTGTTGCTGCTGCTGCTGGTGCTGCAGCTGGTACTGCTGCTGCTTGTGCTGCTGCTGCTGACGCTGCTGGCGGCTCTATTGCTGCTGCTGCTGATGCTGGACCTGTGCCTCCTGAAGGCTGTGGCGTCTCAGATGCACGTGCAGGTGTCGGCGGGGATGGGAGGGGGGCCCCTGGGGCCCCTCAGGGGGCCCCGGTGCCCCTGCTGTGCGCTGAACACCTGCGGGGTTGTGTGCTGACGACAGTAGAGGGCCTCCCTGCAAGGCTCACGGTGCGAGACGTGCTCACAGGGGCTTTGCTGCACCTCATGCAGCAGCAGCAGCAGCAGCAAGGGGCTCTGTTTCTACCGATGACAGACTGGCCGCTGTGTGGCAACCCTTGTCACCGAGGGAACGGGTTCTCCTCTGCAGCAGCAGGAGAAGCACCACCAGGATCAGCAGCAGCAGGAGATGCAGCAGCAGGAGCAGCATCTATGCCTTCGTCCCCCTTTCGCTGGACAGTATCAGCGCCGAACTACCAGCAGACGCATCCGTTGCTCGAGCAGCATTTATCGGAGCCCTTTACGGCAGCAGATAAACCCTCGCTGCGGTCTCCTAATAGAGGCTTCTTGAGACCTTCAAGCACATGGGGGCCCCTTGAGGGCCCCCAAAGGCCCCCGGAGGACGGGGGATTGCTGCCTACAAGGGGCGATTCCCCAGGGGGGCCTTCGTCGAACAGCAGGAAGAAGCCTCTACAGAGGGGCCCCCATAGTGGGCCCACCCCTGTGGGGGCCCCTAGAGGGCAGCAGTTTCTGTCGTTGAGGTGCGGGCATGTAGTGAAATACCTCGCTGTCGCTCTAGGCCATGCGGATGCATTTTTGCTGCTGCCAGCCTCCCGCGCGGAGGGCTCCAGCAACAGCGGAGGGGCCCAGGCGTCGTGCCTTAGCAGTTACCAACAGCAGCAAAAGGAGCTGCAGCAGCAGCAGGAGAAGGCTGAGGGGGCGCATTGTCTTGAGAAAACGGAAGGAGAGAGAGGGGGCCCCTCACGGGTTGAGGGGCCCCTGCAACGAGAAGGCACTGCAGTGTCTCCTCACAGGCCCCTGCTGATGGTTTGGGACCATGCAGCAGGAGCAGCAGTAGTGGAGATGCTGGGGGGCCTCGTGCTAGACTCGAATAAAGGGCGAGTGCAAGGCTATTGCTACCTGTCTCCTGTCTCCGCGGATGTTGCCAGTCCTGTTGCTGTCGGTCTCCCGAAGCCCATGCAGCAGCAGCAGCAGCAGGAGCACCGCGGGCCTCCTCTTGCACCGCAACAATCAGCAGGGGCCGCCCAGCACAAGACGAAGGGCCCCCATAACGGTGAACTGGGGGCATCAGCAGGGTCTCCTTTTGAGCTGTACAAGGGCCCCCCAACGGCATTTGTCTTAAGGGGTGGAGCTCTGGTTGCTGCTCGTAGCGCAGAGGCTGCTGCTAGAATCTTTGCTGCGCTAAAGGCCCTACATGCCTGACACTGATTAGTAGTGAAAGGGCAAATATGAAATATAGGGGCCCCTAAAACCTCTCCCAAGTCCTGAGGAATTCTGAAAACAGACTCGGGCAGCTCGAGTGTTTGCAACTCTCGTGCTATTCAAAACGTGCATTTCTATATATATATATATATATATATATATAAGTAGGTATATGTAGAAGTATATATCTATATCTATATATCTATATATCTATATATCTATATATCTACCTCTATATCTATATCTATATATCTATCTATATCTATATCTACATCTATATCTATATCTATATCTATATCTATATCTATATCTATATCTATATCTGTATCTATATATCTATATCAATATCAATATCTATATCTATATCTATATCTCTATATCTATATATCTATATCTATATCTATATATATCTATTATATATATATAGATATATATATGTATATAGATATATATGAATGCATTTAATATACGTAGTCAGAGCGATAAAGCCAAGCTAGGGACCTGTTGCTGCTGGCCTGCAGATGCTGTATCAACAGCAGCGACCCGCTAATTCGAGCGTTCTGCTGCTGTTGCTGCTGCTATTGGTGCTGCTATTGGTGCTGCTATTGCTGCTGCTATTGCTGCTGCTGTCGCTTCTGCTATTCCTGCTACCTAAGAACTTGCTGCGTGTAGCAAGACGCGGAGACAGCCCCAGTGGGGGAAGCACAAAGGCCGCAGCAGCAGGTCAGTGTACTGCTGCTGTGTAGCCTCAATAAAGGCAAAAGACACTCGGTAGTTTGCAGCAGCAGAGAAGCAAATAAAGAATGGGCCCAGCAGCAAAGGAAGATGCCCCCACACCGTGCACTGCAGCCTGTGTTGCAGTTGCACTTGCAAATGGTAAGGGCATTAGCAACAGCAGCACTTGCTGTTGCTAGCTGCTGCTGCTTCTGCTAGCTGCAGCGGTGGCATTGGGGCATGCGGGTAGTCAGCAGCTGCTTTGCTACTGCCCGGCTGGTTGCTGCAGCAACTGCTGCTGTTGCTGCTGCCGTTCCTGCTGTCTTTGCGTTTGTCTGCGCTGCGAGCGCCTATGTTCCTCAAATTCATGAGGAGCAGCCAAGTAGAGGGGGGGGACATCTAAGGAGACCCCGGGGGCCCCCGTCTGCTGCTGTTGCTGCTGCTGTCTCCTGGGCCTAGCTGCATAAACTGCTACGCATGTGCGGCCATACCTGCGGCTTCGGAGTCCCTCCAGCTCTATGGGGGCCTCTGGGAAGCCAATCTGCATATTTAGAGAAGCACAGGCAGCGAGGTGTGCTGCACTAATGAGGGAGAAGGAAGACACAAGAGACAGGAGACAACCGAAGGAAAGACAGACACAGCTGCCGCAGTACGCACCAGCAGCAGCAGCGGCAGCAACAGCAGCAGCAGCAGCAGCAGAAGCAGCAGCAGCGCCTCAGGCTCAGGCTCACTCTAAAAGGCAAAGTGCCCATTTCCCTAGGATACTCTACAACCAACACGCCGTTAACTCGCAGGAGGCCCGAGAGAAGCAGCTGCTGCAGAGACAGACAGAAACAGCAACAGCAGGAGGACAGGCAGGCTGCAGCATCTACTGCGGAGACAAACACAAGCAACAAGGAGAGAGACAGGCTCCAGCAGCTGCTGCAGCAACAACAGACACACGTAAAAAGGAGACAAGACAAGACACAGACAGCGACGCAGCCTCTGCGAGAAAATAGTTAAACTCCTCTCTTCTATCAACTCTTTCAAAGCAAGCAAAAACAAAAAAAGATATATATGCATATATACATATATATAATATATATAAATACAAGAAAGGAAGTGCAAGCAAAAAAATCACAGCAAACTAACAAACACTAAAAAGACGAACGGCAGAGGGGGCCCAGCCATCCCAGTCGGGGCCAGCAGCAACAGCAGCAGCAGCAACAGCACCAACAGCCGCAGCAGCAGCAACAGCAGCAGCAGTAGGGCTAAACCCACCTTAAGAAGGTCTCCATACACCACCTCGGTGTATGGAGGACACAGGAACACCAGGTCGAACGATGCAGACTCACTATCGCTGTTGGCACTGCTGCTGTTGCTGCTGCTGTTGCTGTTGCTGTTGTTGTTGCTGCTGCTGCTGTCATACCCAAGGAACCGCTTCGGTGCGAGGAGGAGTTCAAAGACACAGAGCCGCAGCACGCGGCTGTCTGTATACCCCAAATGTCGCAGGTTGATAGCAGCTGCCTAAGAAGCAGCAACATCAACAGCAGCAGCAGCAACACAAACAACAGCAACAACAATTCAGCAGCAGCAACAACAATACAGCAGCAGCAACAGCGACAGCAACCGAATAGGGTTTCGTCTGAACCTGCTTGTGAATGCTATGAGAGTTTCTTGCTGGGTTTACTGCTTATGGCTCTGCGCCTTCTGCTAATGCTGAGGGTTTAGGGTTTAGGGTTTAGGGTTTAAGGCTTACCTCGCAGCAATCAAGAGAACGGTCTACAAGGACAGCTTGATGCGCTCCTCGTGAGAGGCTCTCCACTGCAAGGGCCCCGCTTCCACAGAAGAGATCTAAAACCCTAAAAGGAGACACCAAAGAACAACGCAAAAGGAGACACCGCGCCACGAGGTAAAGGCTAAATATCATTAGGGTTTAGGGCGAATATGAATGAGGGATTAAGACAATTAAGGTTTAGGAGGTATGATAATGACGGGTAAAGAGAAATACGGTTTCGGTGTTCTACAGATAGGGGTTTAATGTCTCCAATTGAGGGATTTTATGATAGAGGGTTTAAATGAGGGTTTCATAGAATTAGGGTTTAGGGTTTAAATGAGGGTTTTATACAATTAGGGTTTAGGGTTTAGGGTTTAAATAAAAGTTTTATAGAATTAAAGTTTACACTTAAAAGGTCTTTAAATGAGAGTTTTATAGAATTAGGGTTTAGGGTTTAGGGTTTAGGGTTTAGTGTTTATATGATGGTTTAGCTCGGAGACGCACCGGAGACGAGGGAACGAAAAGACGCCGAGGTTCTGCAGCATGGAGAAGACCGCCTCCCTTACCTAAAGAAAAGGAGACAGCAAAGAGACAGCAAAGAGACAGCAAAGAGACAGCAATAGAGACAGAGACAGACATAGAGAAGGAGACACAAAACTAAAGATAGGGATAAGACAGCCATAAGCAGAACAAGAAGTGCGGAGACACAGAAAAGAGACAAAAAAGCAAAAAGAGAGACAGAGAGACAAGAGACACAAGAAGAAACGAAGCTAAAGATAGAGAAGAGACACACAAGCGCATGCAATACTAAAGAGAGACAGATACACAGAAAGAAAGAAGGAGAGAAGTAGATACAAATAAATAAAGAGACATCAAAACCAAACAAAAGAAAGGGGAAAAAGAGACAGAGGATTAAGCAGAGACAAAAAAGAGCAGCAGCAGCAGCCACAGACAGAACCGGTGCAGGAAAAGCAACAGAGGCAGCAGCAGCAGCAGCAGCAGCAGCAGCACAGGCAGGAGCCCATACAGAAACGAACAGCACATGCCCCGCAGCAGCAGCACAACAAATACCAACAGAAGCAGCATCTGGCTTAGCAGCAGCAGCAGCAGCGAAATCTGTATCGGCGCAAGAAGCAGTAGCAGCAGCGGAATCAGCCGCTGCAGCAGCACCAGCAGTAAAAGCAGCAGTAGCGCGAGCAGCAGCAGCAGCAGCAGCAGCAGCAGACCTGCGCCATCATAGGCCTTGTAGTGTCTATGCGAGGGGCGAGGAGTCTCCTCCTAGCCATACTTCCGCCCGTAACCCGCAGCAAACCGAAGCCCTTCTCAGGCATCGGAAGCGGAGGCAGCGAGCTGTAGAAGCCCTCAGGGCCTCCACGGGCTGCTGCTGCTGCTGCTGCTGCTGATGCTGTTCCTGCTGCTGCAGAGACCGCTGCTGGTGCGTAGGCGTCAGGAACTGCACCTTCTGCTGATGGTGCTGCTGCTGCCCACTCCCCTGATCCTCCTGCTGCTGCTGTTGCTGCTGCTGCTGCTGCTGCTGCGGCCTTCGCAGCGCCAGAGAAAGTCACGTGCTGCGTTGCAAGGATACCCGCGAGACCTAAGAAGCAAAGGAGACAGCAGAGACACAAACGCTGTAGCAGAAGGGAGACAGTCTCCCCAGTTGTGCTGCTACAGCACCTGCAGTACAGCACTGCTGCTGCTGCTGCGCATTTGTTGCTGCTACCGGCTTCTCCCTACTCCCATAACCACCCCAAGAACCAACACAAGAGGCTAGAGCCAAACCTACTAACGCTGCTGCTGTTGGTGCTGCTGTTGTTGCTGCTGTTGCTGCTGCTGCTGCTACTGCTGCTGGTAGTGCTGCACCTACTGCGCGGCAGCCGTTGCCTGCCCCGTCTTTTGCGGGGTTTAAATCGCTCCGGCCTCCGAACATCCAGCGGAGTTTGTGGTAGAGACCCCCAATCATTGCTGCTGTCACTGCTGCTGCTGCTGTTACCGCAACTGCTGCTGCTGTTGTTGCTGCTGCTGTCGTTACTGCTGTTGTCGTAACTGCTGCTCCTGCTGTTGCTGCTGCTGTCGTGGCTGCTGCTGCTGTTGTGGTAGCTGCTGTTGCTGCTGCTATCTTGGCTGATGCTGATGCTGTCGGAGCTGCTGCTGCTGTCCGAGCTGCTGCTGCTGCTGCTGCTGCTTGTGCTGCTGTTGGCGCTGGTGCCGACAGATGCCCACAGGATGCTGCTGTGCTGGGGTCGCTGCTGCTGCCGTTGAATGCATTGAATAGCTTCGCAGCAGAAAGGGCCTCGGCTTACAGGCGCGGTAGCAGCAGCAGCAGCAGCTGTTGCTGCTGCTGTTGCTGCAGCAGCAGCAGCTGCTCCAGCTGCTCCAGCTCTGGCTGGGACATTCTTAATAGCTGCTGCTGCACCTCGTGGTATTACGCCCACAGGAAACCTTAGAGCGCAGTGAACAGCGAGAAACCCGCACCCTCTTGGGCGGTCTAGGTAGCCTTTGCTGCTGCTGCTCTTGTTGCTGCTGCTGTTGTTGCTGCTGCTGCTGCTGTCTCCGTGTCTGCTGCAGTGAAAGAAGGCACCCGCCAGGCATCTGTGGGGTTGCGGCAGCAGCAGCAGCAATAACACCAAGAACAACAGGAGAAGCTTCTGCTGCGCCATGACCTTATTTTCCTTCCCACGCCTTCTGCTGCTGTTGCTCCTATTGCTGCTGCTGCTGCCCGCAGCAGCAGCAAGTTAGGGTTTAGCTGCACAGGCTCATCCTCCCTACCTGATAGGTAAGACAGCCCATTTCTACTACTGAAATATATTTATTTATTCAAAATTTAACGCCAAAACGCGCTGCATAGCGCTCAGCCTAAGCCCCGGCTGCAACTGCTGCCGCTGCTGCTGCTGCTGCTGAGGCCCAGCGGTGCTGCGGCAGCTAACTGGCCCTTAGACCGCTGCAAATCTGCAGCACTTATCATATAAGCATCTTTTGTTTATATCTTCTTTTTAACTTCTTTCTTTTGTTCTATACACACAAGAAGAATACAAACGCCACAGCTGCAGCAAACAGCAGCAGCAGCAGCAACAAGAGCCAGCGAGGTATCGACACTTCGGGCCGCAGCAGGGACTGCGCAGTGTACAGACACCTGCGACTGCAGCGGCTGCTCCAGGACGCAAATAATCCACAAAGCAGCAGCAGCAGCAGCAGCAACAAGCAGCAACAGCCACACAACAAGGACAGCAGCACCGCAGCAGCTGCAGCCTCTCAATGGCACCGCTGCTCCCCGCAGCAGCAGCTGCTGCAGCAACGGTTCTTCGTCGTGGGGCCGCGCGCCTTGCTGCAGCACATGGAGGGGGACCCCTGCGCCTGCTCCCATCCTCATATTTCCAGCAGCAGCAGCAACAGCAGCAGCAGCAGCAGCGACCCTTCAGTAGCGTGCGTGGGCGCTTCAGCCGCGACAGCAGCAGCAGCAGCAGCATGTGGAAAACTGTCTTTGGGTCTGTTGGAGGGGCTGCTGTGGGGCTGCTTGCCGGTTGGAAGGCGCATGCAGCTACTGCAGCAGCAGCAGAAGACTTCGGCGCTGCAGCTGCTGTGCGCCTCTGCCCTGCAAAGGCCTGTACTACTACAAGCAGCAGCAGCAGCAGCAGCAGCAGCAGAGAGATGCCTGAAGGGAATCTACAGATATTTAAGCCCCCTCAAGTTCAGGGTAAGACTGCTGCAGCCGGAACGGTCTTGCTGCTGCTGCTGCAGGTCCATTTGCTGCAGTTGCTGCGCTAGGAGCTAGAGCTGCTCTTTAGCTGCTGCAGTTGCTGCTGCTGTCTCTGCTTTTGCTGCTGCAGCTTGGCAGGAATTCTTGAGGACTCGCGAAGGCTTCGTCTCGTTGCAGATCCTTGCCCAACCCCCCGCAGACCACCGAACTGCTGCTGCTGCTGCTGCTGCTGTTCCTGCTGCAGCAGAGTTTGGCGAGCAACTAGGCACAATCTTGTTAATCGAAAGGCAAGTGCCGCTGCTGTCTCCCCTGCTGCTACTGTTGCTGCTGCTGCTGTTGCTGTGTGCCTGTGAGTGCCTACGTGTTCTTGTTGCAGTTGCTATATCGCTGCGCTGCAGCAGCAGCACGACTAGCTGTAGCAGCACCGCAGTTTTAAGGCTGCTTTGTCTCTTATAAACATAAACTGTCTCCTTTCCGTTTGCTGCAGATGGAAGGACCAGGCAGCACTTCAGGCTGCGGAGGCGGAGGCCCACAACCGCGTTGCGCAGCTGTCACTGCAGCAGCAGCAGCAGCAAGAGCAGCAGGGGCAACAGCAGCCGCTGCCCAAGCAGCAGCAGCAGGTGCAGCTACTTGCCGATGCCTTAACGTGGCCCTCAAGAGCCTATATGATGGATTCCAGGGCTGCAGCGCCTCTGTGGCTGGCCCTGCGCTGAGCTAGCTAGCTGCATGGTTAGCTAGCTGTGTGGATAGCTAGCTGTGTGGCTAGCTAGCTATATGGCTAGCTAGCTGTATGGTTAGCTAGCCGTAAGGATAGCTCGCTGTATGGCCAGCTAGCTACATGGCTAGCTAGCTGAATCGCTAGCTAGCTGCATGGCTAGCTAGCTGTACGGATAGATAGCTTGATGGATAGCTAGCTGTATGGATAACTAGATGTATGGCTAGCTAGCTATATGGCTAGCTAGCCACACAGCTAGCGCTCTTCGTGTACAGGGGAACTGGCGGCCCTCCCGTTCGTCGGCTAGTTAGGTAGCCGCCTCCTAGTGAGTAGCTAGCTAGCTAGCTAGCTAGCTGGATAGATAGCTGGCTGGCTAGCGAGGGCGTTAAGAGGCCCCGCTGAGGAGGCTCTTAATGATGCTGTCTTTAGCTTGGCTTATGGCCTGCAGAGGAAGGCAGAAAGAAGAGACAGTTAGAGGTGTACGTACAGCTGAGCTCCGCCGGCAGTCTCTCGAGCTAATTGCTTTTATGCACTCAAACTTTAAGCATTTGCAATGGCTGGAGACGCTTAAAGAGAGACACAAAAAGAAACAAAGAAGGGAGACAAAGCAGAAGAAAAACAGACGGAGACAGACAAATGCAGACAGAAAGGAGACAGGTAAAGAGACACTTAGACTGAAGCATAAAGCAGACAAATAAATAGACAGAGACAGACAGACAAAACCATAAAGAAGAGATATAGACGAAGACAGAGACAGACGGACGAAGGCATAAAGGAGACAAATAAATAGATACGGAGACAGATAGAGAAAGTCAGCAAGAAGACAGAAGGAGAGACAGATAGAAGCACAAGAACAAACAGCAGATAAATAAAGAGACAGACACACAGCAGCCAGCAGGGAGACAACAGCTAAACAGAAACGAAGACAGCACAACGGAGACAGCAGCAGAGAGGAGACAAAAGGCATTAAGAACAAGAAGAGGCAGTTGGCTAGCGAGGAGACAGTAAGAGAGACAGAAAAATAACAAACAAGATCTAGCCCTCGTCCCTACTTGGTTTAAAGAAGCTGTCTCCTGAGACCCCTGACTGTCTCCTTGCACATTTATGCGAGCCAGGATTGCTGCGGGGTTGGTCTCCAGCAGCAAACTGAAACAGCAAACACCACAACCTGCTGCTGCTGCTGCTATTCTTCCTGCTGCTGCTGCTGCTGCCGAGCAGTACTGGTAGCCACCCCACAAGGAGACAAACATCGATATGCAGACGAAGACACAGACACAATACTAAAACAAAAATATATTGCTATTTATATACACCATAATTACTTTTGTCTTTTAATGAAAAGAAGCAGCAAACAACAAGACATAAAGACGCAAACAACAAGACATAAAACAAACAACAAGACATAAAACAAACAACAAGACATAAAACAAACAACAAAAAATAAAAAAGACAAAGACATAACTTACCCCTGATTGGCGACTTCATCGAGCGCCAATAAAACTGAGTCCATGTTGTCTAACAAAGCTTGCCGGCTTATAGTCCCGCTGCAGCAGCAGCAGCAGCAACAGCAGCAGATAGACACAAACACCTGCTAGGGAGTAGCAGCAGTCGCTGGGTGAATGAATGCCCAGCCGTCACTAGGCAGCAGCAGCAGCAGCAGCAGCAGCACGAAAGACCCGCATGCAGCAGCAGCAACTGTTGCCGCTGCAGCAACTAGCAGCTACCAACGTCATCATCATCATCACCAGCAGCAGCAGCAGCAGCAGCAGTGGGTAGTACCTGCAGATGGTGGTGAAGACGGAGCGCAGTGTCTCGACAACTTCCAGCAGCAGCAACTCGTTTGCTGATGCCTCCGGGGAAACAGCAAAAATGCAGACGTCTCCTACTCCCAACCCCACAGCCACTTCTCCTTCTACCTGCAACGCCTCAGCTGCAGCAGCAGCAGCAGCAACAACAACAGCAGCAGAAGCAGATGCAGATGCAGCACCAACACCACCAGACGTCGAACAGCAGTCACCGAGCAAGATGGATCGGCAGCACGAGCATCAGCAGCAGCAGCACGAGAAGTAGCAGCAAGAGCAGCAGCAGCAAGAGCAGCAACATGAAGATTACCTTCTGTTCTAGTTTTAATCTTCATAAACCCCTGATGCAGAAGGCTCTCTAACTTTCTCTGCGATTCGAAGGTGCGGTACAAAGGCGGAGGCCCCAAGGGAGGCGGAGGCCTTGTAGGAAATTGCGAGCAAATCCTCTCTCCAGATGCATCCAGCACCGCCAAACAAGTCAAACGCAGTGGTGTATCCATCTTGCTGCTGCTGCTGCTGCTGCTGCTGCTGCTGCGGCTGTTGCGGGTGCTGCGGCTGTCTCTGTTGCGCTTCGGTGAGGTAAGGTGTCTCGTGCTGCTGATACTTTGACAGGGAACAGAAGCTGATGCAGAGATCGCGTAGAGAACCTCTGCACAGCAGCAAGCTCAGTGCTGCTGCTGCTGCTCCTACAGTTGTTGTTGTTGCTGCTCTAGCTGCTAGGCTGCAGCTACAAGCCACCTCAACGAACTCCGCGGCACCAAGCGCTGCTGCTGCTACGAGTTTGTTGCTGCTTTCCCTGCACCTCCCCTTAATAGCGATGCCACAGGGCAACGAGGCAGTGCCTAGCGGGCGCTAGCCTGCAGCAGCAGCAGCAGCAGCAGCAGCAGCAGCGCGGAGAGGCTCCTCCTGGAGGTTAACGCAAATTAAACGTCTGCTGCAGCTCGCTTGCGGCCAAAAGCTGCTTCACAGATGGAAAGGCTGCAACAGCAGCAGCAGCAGCAACAGCAGCACAAAAGCGCATGCAGCATGCAGTTGAGAGGTATAGAGGAGTTCAGTGTATGTACGCTGCAGCGTTCAATATAAACAGCAGCAACAATTATAGTTTCCTTGAAGAAAATATATATTTCTGAGCAGCAGCAGCAGCAACAGCAGCAGCAGCAGCGCAGCTGCTGCCCCTGCCGCCGACTCTAACAAGCATGCGCGGCAGGACAAGAGCGGTGCTACTGCTGCTGCTGCTGCTGCTGCTGCTGTTGCTGCTGCTCCCGCTGCTGCTGCTGCCCTTGCGGCGCAGTTTACCGTTGTTAAAGACTGTCTTTTTGCCGAAGTTTTGACCAAATCTAAAGGGAAGTTCCCTGTCGTTTTATTCCTTCGAGTAGTTAAGAGGAAGAGCAGTAGGAGGAGCAGCAGGAGGCGCAGCAAGGGCAGCAGCAGCAGCGGCAGCAGCAGCAGCCGAATCTCCTCCTCAGACGCACAGCGGTATTTGCTGTTCCCAAGCAGCAGGTTGCAGTAGATTGTGGAATCTCTGGTTGTGTGTCTTTTGCTGCATCTCTTCTTGCGCATTCTCGTGCAGCAGCAGCAGCAGAGGCAGCAGCAGCCAGAGCAGGAGCAGCAGCGGGGACCACCGCAACAGAACCTTACCCGCAGACTATCAGCAAGCCCAGCAACAAGCCCAACAGCAAGCCCAGCAGCAGCAGCAGCAGCAGCAGCAATGGTTGCACTGCAGCGGCAAGTTGTGCTCGTAGGAGCGGGGCAGGCACACCTTGATGTGCTGCGGCTGTGGGGTCTGCGGCGGCGGCGCGAAGCAGCAGCAAACAAGGCAACAGCAGCAGCAGCACCTGCTGCTGCTACAACGGACAAGACTGCAGCAGCAGTGCTGCGCTCCATACTCGCCAAAGATGCTGCTGCTGCTGCTTCTCCACCTGCAGATGACAGCAGCAGCAGCAGCACGCCTGCTGAGCTACCCGTCTCGGCTGTCTCTCTGCTGCTGGTAACAGAAACCACAGAAGTCCTCTACAGTGCTATGGTCCCAGGTCAGCCGCTGTTGCTGCTGCAACGCCTTCTGCTGTTGCTGCTGCTGTTGTTGCTGCTGTTGCTGCAAGCCCTGCTGCTACTCCTACTGCAAGCCCTGCTGTTGCTGCTACTGGAAGCCCTGCTGCTGCTGCTGCTGCTGCAAGCCCTGCTGCTGCGGGGGTCTAGCTACCCGCAGTTAGTCGAGTTCCCACTGAAGCAGCAGTTACAACGCTGCTGCCAAGCGTGCTGCTGCTGTTGCTGCTGCTGCTGCTGCTGGATAGCTTTGTACATCCTGTATATTTATTTGTTGTTGATTTGCCTGTCTGTTTGGTTTATTATTATTTATTTGTTTATTTGTTTATTTCTCCCGTTGTTTATTTGTTCATTTATTTTTATTACTTTTTTTATTTGCTGCTTTTCTCGTTTATTTATTTATTTTTATTTATTTTTATTTATTTTTTATTGTAATTTCTTCATTTCATTGTTTTTGTTTATAATATTAAATATTTATCTATACATTCCTTTCATTGTTTATATGTTTATCATATTAAATAAACAAACAAACAAGTTAATGAACAACTGAATAAACAACTAAATAAATAAATAAATAAATAAATAAGTAAATGTTTATTTGTTTATTTGTTTATTTGTTCAGGATATATAACTGGAGAGTTTGCACTGAAGGAGATGACTGTTGATTTGCTGCCGCTCTGCGCCTTTGCTGGGGCTTCACTCATAACAGCAAGGGCTGTGGGGTTGCTGCCGCAGCAGCAGCTGCTGCTGCTCGATGGCAGCAGGCCGCCTTTAAGGTGCTGCTCCTGCTGCTGCTTCATGCTGCTGCTTCTTGCTGTTGTTCGTGCTGCTGCTCCGTCGCAGCAGACCTCTCCTTGGAGGTGCTGCTTCTCTTGGGGTTTTGTTTGTGCTGCTGCTGCTGCTGCAGCTCTTTCTGTTGCCGCTGCTGCTTGATGCTCGCACGACTCCTTTGAGGTGCTGCTGCTGTTGCACGCTTGCTGCTGCTGCTGCTGCTGGTTTGTTGCTGCAGGTTCGATGTCCTCTCTATTGATACGGGCAGCAAACCTGAGGCCTCCCTCATCCCCGGCAGCATGCGGCCGCTCCTCTCGCGCAGCAACACCTTCGTAAACAAGGGTAAGCCGCTGCTGCTGCTGCTGCTGCTGCCCTGTTGCTGCTGCGCATCTGCTGCTGGGCTGCTGCTGCTGCTGCGGCTACGTCGCAACTGCACCTGCCGCGGATGCTCTTCCAGCTACTGCTGCTGCTGCTGCTGCAGAGTTTAGGGGGCACGGCAAGGGTGGGGTGCTGTCGGTTGTTTGTTGCTGCTGCAGGATCTTTGGATGGAGACACTTCAACTGCTGAGCCGGAGACAGGGTCCTTGACGTCTCCAGCAGCAGAAGATGCGCAGCGGGAGACGCAGCTGTCTCCGTGTGGCTGCCCCGCGTCTGGCAGCAGCAGCAGCAGCAGCAGCAGGTATTGCTGCTGCTGTGTTTGCCCCAAACGGCCCATCCAGGGGGTTGTATCTCGCTGGCTGCTGCTGCAGCACCAGCTGCAGCAAGCCTGGCAGCAGGCGTTGGAGAGTAGCACGTCTGCCGGTGGTGGCGCGTCTGCTGCTGCTGCTGCTGCTGACGGTGAGGGTGTAGCCCGGAGAGACAGCAGCACGAGCGCCAGCAGCAGCAACTGCAAAGCGGAAGCAGTTGCTGTCTTCCGAGTGCTGGTAATAGGGGGAGGTGCTGTGGGGGTGGAGATGGCCCTTGTGCTGCAGTACGCCGTGCAGCAGCTGCTGCGCTCGTTAGAGAAACAGCAGCAGCAGCAGCAGCAGCAGCAGGTTAATTCGTCTCCGAAGCGGGAGACTGCAGCAGAATGCAAAGGGTCGCCTTTAAAGGTTGAAGTTATACTCGCAACTAGCGGCCCAGAAATACTCACGGGATACTCCAAACGAGCGCAGGTCCGCTGTTGCTGCTGCTGCTGTTGCTGCTGTTGCTGCTGTTGCTGCTGCTGCTGTTGCTGCAGCTGCACCAAGAAAAGGGTCTGACTCCTTTTCTTTTGTCTGCCCGTTGGTGTTTGCGGCTGTGTCTGCATTGCTGATATTTGATGGTGGTGGGCTCTTCTGGTTGCTGGACCGTGTCGCTGCTGTTGTTGCTGTTGCTGTTGCTGCTGCTGCTGCTGCTGCTGCAGACAACGCTTCGCAAGCTGCTAGCATCACGTGGGGTGTCTGTAAGCACAAACTGTTTGGTGGAGAGACTGGAGGAGACAGCAGGAGGGAGAGCTGTTGCCGTTACGAAGGGCACACAGCTGCAGTCTCTTATTGACTTTGCCTTCTGCTGCACCAGCGATAGACCTCAAGACTGGATACAGTGCGCTCACCCCACACTGCAGCAAACCCCTGCATGCACCAACGCATGCAGTGCTGCATGCGTTGGTGCATGCGGCGGCACCAACAAGCCATACACACCCCCTCCTTCATCAACCGCTGCTGCTGCTGTGCTGCTGCTTTTGTTATTGCTTTAGCTGTGCATGCCCCACACGCTGCTGCTGCTAATGCTGTTGCCAGTCCCTCCCCTGCTGCTGCTGCTGCGGATTCATCACTTGCTGCTGCTGCTGTTGCTGCTGCTGCTGCTGCTGCAGGTCAACGCGATTGCCTTTGGATGAGAACGGCTTTCTGCGGGTATTGCCGACGTTGCAGTGCGTCGACTTTCCCCACATCTTTGCTGCAGGTAATACCCCAAACAGCTGCTGCTGCAGCTGCTGCTGTTGCTGCTGCTGCAGCAACTGCTGCTGCTGCTGAGGGTATTGCTGATGCTGGTGTTGCTGTTCCTGTTGATTGCTTTTTGTGATGCTGCGGCTGGCGTTTGTGCTGCCACTAGTGCTGCACTGCTGTGCATCGTGTGCTGCTACTGCTGCTGCTTTTGCTGCTGCTGCAACAGGCCACACGGCAAGCATCTTGGGCCATTCTCGTCCGAAGGCGGGGGTGTATGCAGGTGGGCCTTTCTGCAGTGCTGCTGCTGCTTGTGCTGCAGTGCTGTTGCTGCTTATTCTGCTGCTGCTGCTGTTTGTGGTGCTGCTGGTTCTGTCGTTTCAGCTTCTCTTGTTGGTGCTTTAGTTGCTGCTGCTGCTGCTGCGCTTGTGTGGTTTTCTTCTTCGATGTTTGTGTTGCGGGTTTGCTGCTCTGCTGCTGCTTGGGGCTTGGAGCCTCTTCTCGCATGCGCATGCATACTCTTGGTGCATGCATGCGCCTTTAAGGATATTTGTTTTGTTTTTTTGTTGCTTTTATTATTGATGTTATTCTTCTTATTCCTTTAATTGTTATTACTACTCTTATTCTTTTCTTTATTGTTATTATTATATGTTAATATTGTTATTATCGTTGTCTCTGTTATTATGCTTATGATTTCATCTGTTATGACTCCTAATGCCGCTCTTATTACTCTTGCCGTTGTTTAGGGTTTAGGGTTTAGGGTTTAGGGTTAATATTGCTATTGTTATTATTATTGTTGCCGTTGTTATTACAACTATTCCTCATGATTCGCGTCGTCATTGTTGCTGCTGCTGCTGCTGTTGTTGTTGCTGCTGCTGCTGCTGTTTCTTAGTGCGTGCTGCGCCTGTGATTGAGACAAACATCTGGCGTTTGCTGCGCGGAGAGGAGTTGGAGGTGTGGAAGCCTCAGAGCGCCTTCCTTTCTTTGCTTGTTACCGGCAGATCTGAGGCTGTTCTCTGCAAAGGGGGTTTTGTCTTTCAGGGTAGCTGGGTTTGGAAGCTCAAGGTCTGTTCCTGCTGCTGCTGCTGCTGCTGCTGCTGCTGCTGCTGCTGCTTGTGGTGTTGTGTTTCCCCATGCGGCGGATGTTGCGAGTGCTCATCCTGCTGTTTCTGCTGCTGTTGGTGCTGTTCTTTCTGCTGCTTCTCCCTTGCTGTTGTTGATGGTGGTAGTTTCGTCTCTTTCCCTCTGCTCGTCACGCCGTTGCTGCTGCTGCTGCTGCTGCTGCTGCTGCTGCTGCTGCGGGCGTTGCCTGGTTGCGGGGTGTCAGGTGTTTGTTTGACAATGAGGGGTTTCAGGGTAGCAGCAGGTTTATGGGTTTGGCTGCAGCAGCAGCTGTTTGTGTTGCTGTTGCAGAAGGCGATCGACTCCGCGTGGCTGTGCAGCCACAGAGATTTCAACGGGCCCTGCAACAGCAGCAGCAGCAGCAGCAACAGCAGTAGCTGCCCCCCTCGTTCTATGTCTTCTTTCTTAGGGCTTAAGGAGTTAGGGGCTGCTGCTGCTTCTGGAGCTGAAGCCCTCAGCACTTGGCTTTCTGCTACTATGGCTTCCTCTGAACCCACCCTACGCGTACCCGCAAGCGAAGTCAGACAAACTGCTGCTGCACTTGCTGCTGCTCCTGTTGCTGCTCCTGTTGCTGCTGCTGTTTGTGCGTGCATGAGTGGAGACAGCGGGTGGCTGTTGTTGGGTAGCAGCTAGCGGTGTCGGTCTAACTCGCCGTCTTCTTGCTGCTGCTGTTGCTGCTGCAGGACCTGCCGCACCCGTGCATGACTGTGTTTGCGGGGCTGCTTGCTAAAGCTGCTGCTGCTCCCCGCAGCAGCAGCTGCACCGGTGCGTCTCGCTGTGCGGGTTGTTCAAGCAAAATACCTCAGCGTGTTGTTGCTGCTGCTCTGCAGCAGCTGCGGCAGCACAACATGCAGGTGCAGCAGCTGCACGACCGGGAGGCGCAGCTGCAGCAGCAGCAGCAGTTGCTGCAGCAGCCGGTTGATGAGCAGCAAGATTGGGAGCAAGACAAACCTCTCTATACTCGCCCTGAGGTTATCTGCGGCCTTAAGACGCCTGATGATTGCTGTCTCTTCGCTCCTGTCCCCTTCAAACAATATTTAGAGACAGCAGAAAATCTGAACTCGCACCCTCTGCCACTTCTAGCTCAAAGCGTAGACTTCTACCGGTAAGAGGCCCACTTGCTGCTGCTGCTACTGCTGCTCGCTGCTGCTGCTACTGCTGCTCGCTGCTGCTGCTAATGCTTCTCTCGCTGGTGATGGTCGTGCTGCTGTTTGTTGCTGCTCTTGTGGATGCTGTTACGAAGGCAGCTGCCTCTATTTCTTCTGTCTCTGCTTGCACTGTCTCCGTCTTATCTGCCTCTCTCTTCTGCGTTTGTCTTGCTGAGTTACATCGGGCCTCTGCGGCTGCTGCAGGCTTTGTGCTTATTCGTATATCTGCATATACAATATATATATATACATATATATATATACTGTTTTGCTGTCTCTGTCTGGCTATAAGTCTACATATGAGTGTGATTGTGTATATATCTAAATCTAACTCTGAGGGTAATTTCTTTATCTCTGCAGCAAACTTCAAACCCCCTAGCTGAGGCCTAGGGGTTTAGGGTTTAGGTTTAGGGTTTAGGGTTTAGGGTTTAGGGTTTATTGTTTATGTTGAAGGTTGTTTACTGGAGATCTCTATACTATGGGCCGCGTAGCAGCAGCACACGCCCTCTCCGATCTCTATGCATGCGGCGCGGAGCCCCTCACCGCCTTAGCTGTTTTCCTTATGCAGCGGGCTCCTCCAGACCTTGTATGCTATCTGCTGCAGTTGCTGCTGCTGCCGCTGCTGCTTTCACCCCCTTGCTGCTGCTGCTCCTCCAGGAGTTGCTGGCTGAGCGGATTAGGCTGGTGGCTGTGCTGCTGCTGGTGCTGCGGGTGCTGCTGCTGCTGCTGCAGTTCACTAGTGTTGGGTTGCTGTTGCTTTGGGGATGGGAGGAGTTTACTGCGTTGGTTCTGCCGCTGCTGTTTGTGCTGCTGCAGCAAGCGAACAACCTGCTGCAGGTGCTGTGTGGGGCGAGCAGCGTGTTTGCTGCTGAGGGCTGCGAATTAAGCGGTGGCCACTCTGCTTCTGGAGACGGGCCTTCAGCAGCAGGTTTCTGTGTCACAGGCAGAATCTTCTATCCTGCTCCTCCCGCAGCAGGAGCAGCAGGAGCAGCTGCAACAGCAACAGCAGCAGGGGCAGGCGCAAGTGCGGGGAAAAAGGGAAACCAGGGCACCGAACAGCAGCAGCAGCAGCAGCAGCAGCAGCAGGTGTCCCCATGCAGACCGTTGGACCCTGATTTCTTGCTGAAGAAAGGCAGCACCGGCGTGAAGGAGGGCTGCGTGCTGCTGCTAACAAAAGGGATCGGCACGGGAGTTATTTTTGCTGCGCATGCTAAGTGCAAGGCAAAGGGAGGGTGAGGGAGCACAGATGCGCAGCTGCAGCACCTCTTGCTGCTGCTGCTGCTGCTGCTGGCGTTGTGCTGCTGCTGCTGCCTAATATTTGCTGCTGCTTCTGCCTTAGTCGTGCTGGTGCCGTTCATCCTTCCCGCTGCATGTGCTGCTGCTGCTGCTGCAGGTGGGTGGAAGCGGCGCTGCAGCAAATGCAGCAGACCAACAGAGCAGCGATGCGTGCTCTGGTTCAGCACGGGGCAACGGCCTGCACGGACGTAACAGGTGAGTAGCTGCTGCTACTGCTGCTCTCGTTGCTGCTGCTGCTGCTGCTGGTAGTTCTCATTCGCCGCCGGGGTGTGCGTGCTGACTGCATTTTTGCTGTTGCTGTTGCTGCTGTTGCTGCTGCTGCAGGTTTCGGGTTGGTGGGGCATTTGTTAGAAGTGTTAGACGCGTCTAACAGAGCCCTGGCGAAGGAGAGCCGTGGGAACGCCGTAGCAGCAGCAGCAGCAGGAGCAGCAGCAGCAGCAGCAGCAGCAGCAGGGGGGCCGCAGCTGATAGGCGCTCGGGTTTGGCTCAGTCGAATACCGCTGCTGCCAGGTGCTGCTGAGCTGACCCGCAAAGGCTTGCATGCATCTCTATTTGTAGAGAATGCTGCTGCTGCTGTGCGGCGGCTGCAAGTGTGTTCAGCTGCTGCTGCTGCAGCAGAGCCCCCTCTTGAGTCTCTTCACCTTGGCAACGTGCGCGGATTGTCTCCTGGGGAGCAGCAGCTGGGGAACGAGCGCCAGCTGCTACAGGTGCTGCAGCAGCAGCTGCGGGGCAACTGCTGCTGCAGGGCGCCGCTGAACTCAACGCAGCAGGAGGAGCAGCAGCAAGAACAGCAACAGCAGAAACCCGCCAGGGAGGAAACGGATCTGCAAAGCGGCTGCAGCAACAGCTGCAGCAGCAGCTGCGGCGAAAGGGGAGGTAGTCTCAGCTGCTGCTGCTGCAGCACTTGCCCGGACCCTTCTTTAGTCTTCCCGTTGCTGTTTGACCCCCAAACCAGCGGTGGTCTTCTTGCTGTTGTGCCTGCTGCTGCTGCTGCTTCCTGTCTTGCTGCACTGCGGCAGCATACTGCAGCAGCTGCTATCGGAGACATTATATCTCTCCCTGCTGTTGCTGCGAAGGGCAGTCTATCAAAGAGCAAACCCATACAGATACTTGCGGGCTCCACAGAAGCTACAGCAGACAAGGCCGATACATGTAGCTAGCGGCAACGGCAGCAGCAGCAGGAACAGCTGCAGCTATAGCTGCAGCAACAGCTGCAGCAGAAAATGCAGCAACAGAGCTGCTGCAGCAAAAACAAATGCAGCAGTAGTATAGCTGCAGAGCGAACTGCAGCAAAAGCAGCAGAAGAACAGCTGCAGCAAATACTGCAACAAAAGAAGAGCTGCAGCAAATGCTGCAGCAAATGAACAGCTGCAGCAAAAAGCTGCAGCAAATGAACAGCTGCAGCAAAAAGCTGCAGCAAAATTTAGGGGCGTTGACAGATATCCAGTTAGTTTGAGCGCCATGTGGCTGAAGAGATGCAAAGCTTGCTGCTGGTGCAGCAGCTGCTGCTGCAACAGCTGCTGGTGCAGCAGCTGCTGCTGCAGCACCTGCTACTCTTACAGCGTTGGATGCTGTGTTAAATAGTGGCCTGTACCTGCCTTTCTGCGGCGGTCTCTCTGCTGCTGCTGCTGCTGCTTCACGCTGCGTCCCTTCGGGGCAAGAGCAGCAGCATTGACGGCTGTGGCTGTGTGCGGGCAGCAGCAGCAGCAGCAGCAGCATCAGGAACAAGAGGCCTGTCCCGGTTTCTTTCGTTCATTGCATGCAGGCCGAAGAGTGTTTGTGTTTTGAAGCAGCATGAAGAGCTGCTACTGCTGCTGCTGCTACTGTGGGGCCGGCGGAGTTTACGTGGCCCTGTGCTACAGTGGTGGTGCAGAGTTGGGGTGTTATGTACACCTCATTGCTGAGCAGCAGAATTAAACTTGAGTTCGTTTAATTGAAAGGTCTTTTAATTTGTTGTTGCGTTTGCATGCGATGCCTATTGTCTTGTCTTTTATTATCTGTCTCCTGTCTCTGTGTGTCTCTGTCTCCTGTGTTTATTTTGCATTTGTTTGCCTTCATGTGCTGTCTCTTTCTATCTCCTTTGCCTCTGTTTGTGTGTCTCTCTCCTTCAGTGTCTGTCTCCTTGCTTATGTTTGTTGCGGTGCATGCACAATTGTCTCCTGTCTCCTCTGCTGCAGTCTCCTTTGTTTCTTCTGCCTCTTTGTCTCTTAGCAGACCCCCAATTGTTGCAGTTGTAGTAGTAGGAACAGCAGCAGCAGCAGCAGCAGCAGCATACTGATCAAGCAGCAACAGCCCTCTACTATCAAAAGGGCTTCGCTGTCTTGCATGCATGCATTTGCTGCTTGTTATGTTGCTTTCTGGGTTTAGCAGCAAAATAACAAAACTAAGTGTCTGTACTTCCCTCTCTCTTTGCTCTGCTGTCTCTAGAGATAAAAGAAAGAGACACCTTAAGGAGACACCTCAAGCAAAAGGAAGCAATACTATTCATATGTTTTATATTGCTGCTGCTGCTCTGCATGCAGCAGTGTCTGTCAATCTGCATATTACTGTCTGTCTGCCTCTTTGGGGCTTTCTCTGTATTTATTGCATGCATAAACCCTTTACGTCTCTTAAAATCAAAAGAACTAATACACGTCGAATTAAAGGGCTGCTGCCCCTCTTGTTTCTGCTGCTGCTGCTGCAGCTGGATCCTGCTGCTGATGGCTCCGGCTGCTGCTGCTGCAGCTGGATCCTGCTGCTGCTGACTCCGGCTGCTGCTGCTGCATCTAGCTCCTGCTGCTGCTCCTGCTGCTGCTGCTAGATCCTGCTCTGGCAGGACCCTGCTGCTGCTGCAGTTGCTGCTGCTGCAGCAGAAGCAGCTGCTGCTGCTGTTGCTTCTGTTGAGTGCCTTAAGCCGAAAGGATGCAGCGGCAGCAAGGGCCCCGCATGCAGAAGGGGACGTGAGGACGCCCTGAGGAGACACAGCAGCAGCACAAGCAAAACCCCAGCAGCTATTGATGCCGCCTGTTTGTGCTGCAGCAGCAGCAGCTGCTGCTGCTGCTGCTGCTCGGAGGGAGGCAGAGAGGAGACACAAGACAGCAGCTAGCAGCTAACTAAGCAGCAGCTTCATGGAAGTGTAGGGAGGAGACAGACGAATGCATAGTGCAAAGAGAAGAAAACAACGGAGACGAAGAAGAGACACTTAAAGACAGAGACAGCGAAAGGAGACAGAAAAACAGCAGCAGACAGATACAGAAAGAAAGCGACAGACGCCCGTACACCTCAATAGAGACAGACACCAGAGAAATCAAAGAAAGGAGACAGCAGAAGAGAGTAAAGAATAACACCAGCAAACACACGAAAAAGAAAGCAGCAGCAGCAGCAAGAACAAAGAAGAGACAAAAGAATAGACAAAAGAAGAGACAGATAAAAAGATATCAGAAAGACAAGAAAGACAGAAGGAGACACTAAGTAATAATAAGGAGACAGTAACAAAACAAGCGGGTAAAGAAATGAAGAAATATATAAACAATTAGAAAGACCTGGTCTCCACCATATCTCTCCTCTAGGCCCCTGTCTCTCTGAAGATAAAACTGCTGTTGAACGCATGCAAGAGAACAGAGGCAGCCAATAGACAAACAGATTATGCAACAAACTTCGAGAGAAAGGAGACCCTTCCTTCTCCTCTAAACCCTGCTCACGCATATAGACACCCAAACAAATACAAACAAAAACTAAGTAAAAACAAAGACAAAAACAAACACAGAGATGAAGACATAAATGTACATATATATATATATATATATATATATATATCCGTATATATGTCTCTATATAGATATATATATAGGGAGAGAGATATAGAGAGAGAGAGACTGAGACAGAAAGACAGACAGATAGAGACAGAGGCGCACACAGAGACAGAGAGAAGAGGCACATAAAGAGAGACAGAGAGAAGAAACGCATACAGAGAGAGACAGACCAAATGAAGAGACAGAGATAGATAGAGACAGGCAGACTAACAGATAGAGAAACAGATAACAGACAGAGAGAAGAGACAAACAGAGACAGAGCAGCGCCCGCCTTCGATAAGGGCCTCAAAAATCTATACCCTAATCCCTAACCCTTAATTCTAATCCCTAAACCCTAAACCCTAAACCCTAAACCCGAACCCACGCCCTTGAGCTTCCTCCAGCTAAACCCTAAACCCTCACCCCTAGGCCCTAAAACCTAGTCCCTAAACCCTAAACCCTAAACCCTACGCTGAGGCTTACAGCCCTCTGAGTATAAATGCCTTACTTTAAGGTAAGAGATCCTCCTCCAAGCAAGCTGCTCCCAGGTTGTAAGGTTAAGAGACATCAGCAGCAAATGATATGCAGCAAGACACCCGACGAGTGCAGACAAACCTAACAAGAAAAAAAACAAACTCAGTACTAATAAAGACAGCACACCACCCCTGCAACGCACACACACATGCTGCACCAAACAATGATGAAATAACTGCTGCTGCAGCTGCTGCTGCAGATACTGCTGCAGCTATTGCTACAGCTGCTGCTCCAGCTATTGCTACAACTGCCGCTGCATCTACTGCTGCAGCTGCTGCTGCAGCTACTGCTGCACCTGCTGGTGTAGCAAATGCAGCAACTGTTTAAGTAGCACCTATTGCTGCAGTGGCAGCAACAGCTGCAGTAGCAGCAACTCCATGGCGCTCTAACAACAATGCAGCAGCTTATACCCTAGCACCAGCAGTCCTGCTGAGAACCCTCTCACCAGCAGCAGCAGCAGCAGCAGTAGCAGCAGCAGCAACAGCATATCCAGCAGCAGCCGTTTCACCGCACCACTCGGCCTTAACTTGAATAGGCAGCAGCAGCAGCCTGACACACTGAGCTGTACATACACCAGCCTCCAACACCTGCAGCAGCAGATACAACATGAAGTGTGGGCGGCTCTTCTCTCCCACGCAGCTTCCTGCAGCAGCAGCAGCAACAGCAGCAGCAGCAGCAAAACGCCAGAATATACGCGCCTGACCCTAGTCTCCCGCTAACACTGAGCAGCAAACGCAACAGCCTCGGGAGCAGCAACAGCAGCAGCACCAGCAGCCGCAAATGCAGCAGAAGCAGCAGCTGCAAATCTAGCATCAGCAGACGCAGAAGGGGAAGCAGCAGGAGAAGCAGCAGCAGCAAGAGCACCAAGAGCAGCAGCATCAGCAGCAGCAGCAGCAGCAGCCTACCTATCCAAGGGCAGTGGTGATCATGGGTGCGGATGCAGACACCGCAGTCTGCGCAGTGCTTCGTCCTCAGCGGCTGCAGCAAAGGACAATTGCAGGTGAGCATACATTGCTGCTACTGCTTTTGATGCTGTTGCTGCTGCTGCTGCTGCTGGTGCTGCTACTGGTGCTGTTGCTGCTGCTGTTGCTGCTGCTGGTGTTGTACTGCTGCTGCTGCTGCTACTGCTGCAGCTGCGCACCTGATACATGCAGCACCGCTCGCAAAACCGCAGCCTCACGCCGTACTGCCACAACTGTCTCCTCCTCACGGTGAAGGGGACAGCAGCACTTGCTGCTGCTGCTGTCGTTGCTGTTGTTGCTTCTGTTGCTAAAGGTGCCGCTGCGGGTGATATCTGCACAATAGAAGACGCTGGAGGCAGCACCTGGCTCAGCTCCACCAGCTCCTGCTCCTTCTGCTGCTGCTGCTGCAGCTGTTGCCGTGCTGCTGCTGTTGCTGCTGCTGCATCGCTTGAACTTGCTGCCGTTGCTGTTGCTGTTGTTGCTGCAGTTGCTGCAGCTGTCGCTGCTGCTGTTGCAGTTGTGACTGCTTCACTCGCATCCTGCGCACTCACTGGCAGCCCCACGATCTGCGCTGCAGCTGCTGCTCCTGCTGCTGCTGCTGCTTGTCGCTGGCGTTTTTCTTGTTCCCTAAGTTTCTTTCGAGCCTTCATCTGCGCCACGTCTGCTGCTGCTGCTGCTGCAGCGGCAGCAGCAGCAGCGGCTGCTGCTGCCGCGGGTTGCTTCACGCGGAGAGCGCTGCTTCCGGCTGCAGCAGAACCTCTGCGAGCGCTGGGGCTGCTGGTTCTGCTGCTGCTGCTGCTGTCTGTGTAGTTGTCTCCAATGCTGCTCCCTCTGCTGCTGCTGTTGCTGCTGTGCGCAGCAGGGTGTCTTGTGAAGGGAGGCCGGTAGCTCCGCCTGCTTCGGTGTCTGCTGCTGCTGCTGCTGTCAAAGTGCAGCACTTTGTTGCAGCTTATGTACACCTGCCGCAGAGACGCTGGCTGGGGCCCCGCTTCAGCCCAAGTGTCTCCAGGCATACCGCACAGGGAAGCAGCAAGGGGAAGGTGCTGCTGCTGCTCGCGCTCTTCCTGCTGCTGCTCACAGAGCTGCTGCTGCTGCTGCTGCTGCACCTGCATCGGAATGAGCTCCATATTAGCATGCCCTCCTGAGGCTGCGCCCCGAGAAACGACAGGTAGGGGGAGGTTAAGCTGCTGCTCCCACTGCCTCTGCTGCTGCACTTGCTGCTGCTGCTGCAGTTCCTGCTGTTGCTGCTGCTGTTGCTGTTGCTGCTGCTGCTGCTGCGGCATCAAGGAGATCTCAGTGGTGAAACCATCAATGTCTTCTTCGCTTGAGCTGCGTGGCAGCATGGCGCTGACCGGCTGCTCCCTTGTGAAGAGACGGGGCTGTTGCTGCAAGTCGTGCTGCTGCTGCTGCTGCTCCTCCTCCTCTTGCTGCTGTTCCTGCTGCTGCAGCTCCTGCTGGTGTTTCTGCTGCTGCGTCTGCGCATCACGCGCATAGCCAAAGGTCGGGGTATTCCAAGACGCTGCTGCAGCTACTGGGATGCGTATGCTGTTGCTGCGGTTGCTGCTGCTGCTGCCCCTGTTGTTGTTTCTGCTGTGGTGCTTCTCGTATGCATCGCTGTTGCTGCTCCTGCTGCTGCTGCTGCACTCAAGGGGGCCAGTGTGCGCCTGTTCCGCACAAAAGCGATCCAGGCTATCGTTGCTGCCGCTGTTGCGGCTGCTGCTGCTGTTGCTGCTGCTGCGGTGACTGCTGCGAGCAGCAGCTGAACGTGCAGCAACTGCGTGTGTGCTTCTGGGCGGGCTCAACGGTGACAAGTCATTGCGGGTGTTGCTGCTGCTGTTGCTGCTGTTTCGCCTTCTCCTGTCATCGCCACTGCTGCTGCTGCTGCTGCTGCTGCTGCTGCTGCTAAGGTTGCTGCTGCGAAGCGCATGCGGGGCTTCATACTCCCTTCTGTCTCTCCTCAAGAAGCGGGTGAGGCCCTTACCACGAGATGGGCGCCTCCACCGCTGCTGCTGCCTTCCCCGTGCTGCTGCTGCTGCTGCTGCCTTTGCTGCTGGTACTGCCTCCCCTCCGATGTAATAACAGACCTCCCCCGTGCTGTAGTTGCTGCTGCTGCTCTCCCAGCTTTCGTCTGCTGCTGCCTCCAAGCTCCGCCGTCGGTTGCTGCCGGTGTTGCTGCTGCTCCGGCGCTTCAGCAGCTGCTGCTGCTCAGGCGGCAGCAGCAAAGAGGGGCAGTACCGCAGCACCCCACTGCAGCAGCAACCGCACAGCAGCAGCACCAGCAGCAGCATCAGCAGCAACAGCAAAATTAGCACGAGCAGCAGCAGCCATTCACTAATTTCGAGCTCTCCATCGTGCAGCAAAGAAGAAGCAGCAGCTACTGAGCCTGCAGCAGCACAAACAGGGCACCACTAGGAACAGCAGCAGCAGCAGCAGCAGCAGCTTACGGATCGGTCCTTGCAGCAATGAAGTAGGCGATAACAGTAGCAGCAGCAACAGTCCAAGTTGCTGCTCCTCCAATATCTAGGGGAGAAAATATAGCGGGGTGTACAGAACAGAGAGCCCCCAAGACAGCGCAGCGCAGCAGCAGCAGCAGCAACCCCACGAAGAGAGCAGCAGGGGGCCCCTCAGAGTCATCTTCATCAAACCTACTTGCATGCAACGCAGCCCGAGACGAGGAGAGCTCAAAAGCTGCCTCACGCCGCTCTGCTGCTGCTGCTGCGGCGGCTGCTGCTGCTGCTGCTGCTGGGCCTGCTGCTAATGCAGCGGGAGTGGGGTCTAAGTGCGGCCTCAGACGGGACCTCGAGGAGACAGGCGCAGCAGGCACGGAGGCCATGGCCAACCTAGCTGCTGCTGCTGCTGCTTTTGTTGTTGCTGCTGCTGCTTTTGTTGCTGTTCCTGCTGCTGTTGTTGCCGTTTCTCGCAGTAGGCCCCCTTTCCGGGGAAGGGAACTGCTGCTGCTGCAACTGCTGGTGCTGCAACTGCTGCTGCTGCAATTGCTGCTGCTGACACTATGGCTGCTGCTGCCTCACGTGCTGCTGCTGCCTTTGTTCCTCCTGCTGCTGCTGCTTATAATGATGATGATGTGAGGGCTTTTGCTGCCGCTGTCGTTGGCGTTTTCGTTGTTGCTGCTGTGCACTTGGGGCTGTTGCTGCTGCTGCTCCGGCTTCTGCTGCCGCTGCTGCTGCTTCTGAGAATGGCGCTGCACTGCGGGGCTACAGAGGCAGCAAAGTGCGAAGGTTTTTGTGTGTCGGGTTTTGTATGGGCACCAGCGTGCATGCATGCAGCAGATAGCATAGGTTGCTGCTGCTACAGTGAAGGCCTAGTTGCTGCTGCAGCAAGGAGCTTCGTGCTCCCAGTACAGGCTGCTGTGCCGCTATGAGTTGCTGTCGCTCGTGTTGCAGCTGCTGCAGCTGCTGCTCCTGCTGCTGCAGCTGCGCAGCGCATGGACGCACCAGCGTGTACGATGTAGAGTAAGAGCCTTACTCCTGACGAGTTTCAGTGGCGCTGCAGCTGCTAGCGCTGCTGTTGCTGCTGCTGCTGCTGCCGCTGCTGCTGCTGCTGCAAGACACACGAAGGTGAAGCAGCTTGAAACGGGGCGCAGGCGCTGCAGCAGCAGCACAGGGGAAGTTCTGAAGTAGCAGGCATAAACGAATTTAAAAGGGATGGCACGCTGTCTGTAGGCCCGTTACAGCTGCTGTTGCTGCTGCTGCTGCTGCTGTTGCTGCGGCTTCTGCAAGGACAGTTGAGGGCCCGCCGCTGCTGCTGAGGCCTTCCTGTGCTCCTCAAGAGCCTTTCCTTGTTTTCTGGAGGTAAATATGGAGAAATACTTCTCTCTTCTACTGCTGCTGCTGTTGCTGCTGCGCTGTTCCGCCTAGAAACTGCGGCTCAGCCGGCAGGCGGTAACAACAACGGGGCCCCTGCGAGCAACAGCAGCAACAGCAGCAAGAGCAGCAGCAGCATCTGCAGCACCACACACTGCAGCAAAGCAGCTTACAGGGAAGGTACGAGAGACTGGCTAACCACACATAAGGCCTACGTTTCAACTCTTCACAACTGCAGCAGCAGCAGCAGCTGCTGCTGCTGCTGCTGTCCCTGCTGCAGCACCGCTGTTGCCGCAGCAACAGCAACGCCATGCCAAGGCGAAACGCCTTCCCTATGGCCACAATACACAGAAAACTACCCCACGTCTGCAGCGGCAAGAACTGCTGCAGCGGCAGGAACAGCAGCAGCAGCAGCAGCAGCAGCGGTGTCGGCAGCGGGCATGGCCGTAGCAGCAGAAGCTAAGGTAGCGGAAATCGAAGCATCTGAGGGCGCAAAGCACTTCCACTCATAAGAAGCTCAGGAAGTCAGTGAGGCAAGCAGCAGCAACAGTGGTCGCAGCAGCATCTGTAGCAGCAGCAGCAGCAGCAGCAGCAGAAACAGCTGCTGCTTCTGCTACAGCGCTCGCACCATCAGCAAGCTGCATGGCGTGTTCGATGCTTGGAAGCACTCCTGGGGCCCCAGATGCTGGCAGCGATGCAGCAGGAGCAGCAGCAAACCCTGCAGCAGCAAACGCTGCAGCAGCAATCGCTGCGAGAGCAAACGCTGCGGCAGCAAACGCTGCGGCAGCAAACGCTGCAGCATCAAACGCAGAGATAGCAGACGCAACAGACGCTGCAGGAGATGCAGCAGCTGCAAGCTGCAGCTCCGAAAGCTGCAGCAGGTGTCTGTACACATCAGCCTCTTGCTGCTGCAACCGGGTGTTGCTGCTGTGGGGTTGGCTTCCGCCGCGAGCAGCAAGGAGACTCATGAGGCTGCTCAACGACAGAGACAGAGCAGCCTGTAGCTGCGTCTGCAAGTCGTGGTACACTCCACTGTGCTGCTGCTGCTGCTGGCGTTGCTGTTGCTGCTGCTGCTGCTGCTGTTGCCGATAGAATCACCTCTGCCCATATAGCTGCTTTCTTTTTCCTCGCTTCTGCTCGCGCGAAGCGGCCTTCTCTCGTGCTGCTGCTGCTGCTGCTGCAGCGGGGGCAGAGGCGCACGATTATCTGAGGTGCCTGTACAGCTGCGTGTTGCTGCAGGCGGCAAGGTCTTCTGTCTCCTCGTCTCCTTGCTGCTGCTTTTAAAGGGCGAGGCTTCCCTGCTGCTTTCAGGAGACAGTTTTATAGCTGGGTGCTACTGGGGGAGATGCAGCAGCAGACACTGGAAGACTACCAGGTCTGCTGCTGTTGCTGCTGCTGCTGTAGCTGCTGCTGCTGTTGCTGCTGCTGCTGGGTGGGGTTGTTGGTGATATAGCTGCCACACTGACTGCATGATATCAACATGGCGACTTTCTTTGCGGGGGGGCTTCGTTTTTGCTGTGCTGCTGCTGCTGCTTCCGTTGCTGCTGCTGCGCTCCTTGTTCTGCTGCCGCAGCAGTTTTTGTTTCTGCTGCTGCGGCTCCTGCATAACGTCTCCACTGCTTGCGCAGTGCAGACGCTACTGCTGAGCCCCCCTATGACGCTGCGTTTTTGCTGCTGCTGCTGCTGTGTCTATAGGAAGCCTGTGCTGCAGCTCCTGCTGCGCTGTCTGAGGAGATTGCAAAAGACTGCCACAGAACTTTCCCCGGGTTGCCTTTCTTCAGGGACAAAGCCGTGTAACCTGCTGCTGCTGTTTTTGCTGCTGTTCCTGCTGCTGTTGATGGTGGTGCTGCTGTTAATGCTGCTGCTGCTGCGGTTGTTGTTGTTGCCGCTGCTGCTGCATTTACACTTCGTAGTCTGCTCTGCAAACGGCTTCCAGATGAGTTGCGCTCCTAACCTTACTGGTGTTGCTGCTGCTGCTGCTACTGTTGCTGCTGCTGCTGTTGCTGCTGCAGGCAGCAATCATTGCATCGAATACTGCTGGGCTGCGCCGCGCGCGAGGGGAGCGTCGGCTACTGCCAAGGTTTAAATTTTGTGGGGGGCCTCTTCTTGTATGTCTTGAGGGATGAATTTGTGAGACGCATGCATGCAGCAGCAGCAGCAGCAGCAACAGCAAAAGCAGCAACAGCAGCAGCAGAAAGTGGTGGAATGCGGGCCGTCTGGAAACTGTTTGCGGAGCAGGCTGCGAAGTGTATATGCAGCAACAGCTTCATATTACTCGAATTATTTGTCTCTCTTTGTCTTTATGTCTGCCTCTGTCTCTGATTATCTCTCTGTATTTCTCTGTCTCTTTGCTGTCTCTCTTTGCTGTCTCTCCTTCTGTCCTTATTTGCTTCGTTTAAAGTCAAGGGCGGCGCAGCGCCTCTCTTCTTGTCATTCCCCAGTAGCTGTAGAGGGTTTGGGGTTTAGGGTTTAGGGTTTAGGGTTTAGAGTGTATGGGCGCTGCAGGAGGCTTACCGATGCCTGGTGTCTCTGCTTCTGAGGAGAAATCTGCAACGCCTTTACGCGGCTGGCCTCACGCCCATGAAGGTGGGTACTGCTTCTGCAGCTGCTGCTGTTGCTGCTGCAGCTGCTGCTGTTGCTCCTGTTGCGGTCGTGGCTGCTGCTGTCGCTGCAGCAGCAGCTGTTGCTGTTGCCCCTTTGAGATCGCCTTGTGGGCTCTAGCTTTGCAGTGGCTGCAGCAGCATGATGTTGATGTTGTTTTTACAAGTTCTGTTGCTGCTGGTGGCTTCGTTGCTGTTGATGCAGCAGCAGCAGCAGCAAGCAGCAGCAGCAACGAATCCCGTGTCTCTCCTATTCTGTCTCCTTTCAGAGCGTTGCTTTTGCCTTTGAAAGACTTATGGATTTGTTTCTACCTCAGCTGCAACGCCGCTTCGTGCGTCTCCTGCTGCTGCTGCCTTTGCTGCTGCTGCGATTGCCTGTGCTGCTGCTGCTACCGTTGGTGCTATTGTCTTTTCTTTAGCTGCCTTTGCTTCACTGCTGCTCCCTTCGCTACTTTGCTGCTGCTGTTTTGCTGCTCTGCTGCTTCTGCTGTTGCTGCTGCTGTGCTGCTGCTGCTGTCTGAGGTGTATGCATGCGTACTGGCAGTAGTGACACCCCACGTTGTACGCTGAGGCCTTTGTTTGTTTCTGATTCTGTACCCTTCTCGTTTTGTCTCTGCTGTCTCCGTTTGTTTTTGTTTGACTCTGTCTCTTTTACCTTTATCTGCCTCTGGTTGTGTCTGCCTATCTCTGTCTCTGTTTGTCTCTGTCTCCTTAATCTCCATCTGTCTCTGTCTCTGCCTATCTCTGTTTGTCTCTGTCTCTTTTATCTCAATCTGTCTTTGTTTGTTTATTTTTGTTTGTTTTTGTTTTCTTGTCTTTGTTTTATTTTAGTCTCTGCTTATTGTTGTCTTTTTGTGTTTGTCTCCTTATCTTTTTTTTTGTTTTTGTTTGTCTGTCTCAACTGTTTATTGCTTCTTGCGGTGTATCTTTGTTTCTGTTTATTTGTTTTTGTTTGTTTTCCTCCTTATCTCTTTTATTTGTTTTTTAATTAATCTTTTTGTTTGTTTTTTTGTCTTTGTTTGCTGCAGAGCACATTAGGCTTAAAGGGGGAGACATATTTGCTGCAGTGGCTGCTGCCTATCTTTGCAGCAGACTTCCCTCTGTTTCTGTCTCTAAGGCTTTTAGATTTAGTTGTCTTAGGGGGCCTCAAGTGTCTCCTTCAGGCTGCCCTTGCTCTACTTGAAGCTATTCAGGGTCCGGCTGCTAATGCTGCTGCTGAGGCTGCTGCTGCTTATGCTGTTGCTCATGCTGCTGCTGCTGCTGGTAGTGCTACTGCTGTGTATGCTGCTGCTGCTCTTAGTGCTGCTACAGTCAGTCCTCAGCATGGCGCTGGTTGGGTGTGCCAGGGCCTGCTGTGATTGTGCTGCTGCTGTTTGTGCTGCTGCTGCTGCTGTTAATACTGCTGCAGTTGCTGTAGTTACTCTTGCTGCTGCAGTTGTGTCTGTCTTTTCAGAGCCTCTCCTCTCCATGGGGCTGGATGAGGCCCTGGGCTTTATTCGGGGTGCTGCTGCTGCTGCGCCTTTTGCTGCACACCCTCAGAAAGAGCGGCAGCAGCGGAAGCAACGGCAGCAGCAACAGCAACAGATTCAGCAGCAAAAGCAGAAACGGGAGCAGCAGCAGCAGCAGCAGCCCTGGTACCGCCAGGCATCTCTATCTGGTCGCAACGGCTTGCAAGAGATTGAGATGCAGGAGAAACGTCAGCAGCAGCGCAGCAGCCGAGAGATGGCTGCAGAAAGCAGCAGCAGCAGCAGCAGCAGCAGTCTTACCCCTAGCGAGGCTTGGCTGCTGCAGCGCATGCAGCGCTTCCGCGTGACAAACAAAATGATTGAGACACTTGAGGCAGCCTATGCCGAGAGGAAGCCCTGCAAGTTGTGCATCGAACCAGGTAGCGCTGCTGCTGCTGCTGTACCTGCCGCACTTGCTGCTGCTGCTGCGCTTGCTGCTGCTGCTGCGCTTGCTGCTGCTGCTGCGCTTGCTGCTGCTGCTGCTGCACGTTAGGATGCGCCTGGCCTGCGGCCGTATTGTAGCTTTTTGTGAAAGGTGTGTGCTCCTGAAGTGTATGTATAATAGAAGCTGCCTATACACATCGCTGGGGTGTATAGGCAGCTGCTTTGGCTGTGTTATACACTCTAGCGAGGTGTCAGTACACCGCAAACGCTGGCGCGCGCTGCTGCTGCACTGCTGCGACACCGCTGCTGCGCTGCTGCTGCACTGCTGCTGCACCACAGGGCCAACCAGAGGCTGTCTCCGCTGGCGCGTTGTCTCCGACATCTCCTGCTGCCCCCAAATGCAGCAGCAGCCCGGGAGGCATTCTGCTGTCTCCTTTTGTATTGTTGACCATTACTTTGTCCCCGCCTCGAACCCCACAGGCCTTGCACCTGATAAAAAGGAGGCACCTTGAAGGGGAGAGCCGCTGCAGTTGCTGCTGCAGCAAACTTCCCGCACAATACTGCAGCAAGAGCTGCAGCAACACTGCAGCAACCCCTGCAGCAAGCCCAGCCACAACCAGCACCAACGGCATGAGTACCAGCGGTAGCAGCAGCTGCTGTGGCTGCTGCACCATGAAGCGGTGTCTAGTGACACCCTTTAATTCTTCTCTGTCTTGGCTTTAAAGCAGCATTGAGAGGCTGCTGTTTATATTGAAGGGACCTTTTGCTGCTGTTGCAGTGGCATCAGCAGCAGCAGCAGCTGCTGCTGCTGCAGACAAGGACCTTACCCCCTCACTTGGGGTCTGAAGTAACCTGCGTTGCTGCGCATAGTTGAGATGATGCTGCTGCAACTGCTGCAGCAGCACCATCTGCAGCAGCTCCTGGGCTTGCTGCTGCTGTCGATGTCCTCAGACATTCCACAATTGCGCCTTCGGCGTCTTCGTGATGCTGCAGCATATGCTGCTGCATGTGTGGCGTTTGCTTCTGCTGCTGCATCTGGTGCTGCTGCTGCTGGTCAAGATGTTGGCGCTGCTGCTCCTCGTGCAGCTGTTGGACGTAGTGCCGCCCTTGCTGCTGCTGCTGCACTTCTCCGCGCTGTTGCTGCTGCTGCTGCAGCATCTCTTGCTGGGGCTGCTGCTGCATGTATTGCTGCTGCTGCTGCTGCTCCCACCACTTCAGGGCTGCCCTTTGTGTCCTGAGAGCAGCAAAGGCTAGGGCTTCAGCATTAGGGTCTGTGTCTTCGGTTAAGGGCCCAAAGAGACGAAGAGAGACCTCAACATTGGAGGGACAGCAGCAGCAGCACTTGCTGCTGCTGCTGCATTTGCTGCTGCTGCTGCTGCTGCGTAGCATCACGCGGCCTTCCGCCCTGCAGAGTGCACCAACTTCCACAAGCGGAGGAGGCTCGAAAGGGACTGTCTCCTCAATGTGAGGGGCCCTCTTGTCTCTCCTTGAGCTGATGCTGCATGCATCTAGGGGACCCTTGTGGGGCCTCCAAACCCAGCGGCAGCTAATAACCCCGGTACCGTCGTCTAGCTCTACGGTATCTGCATATCCTGCTGCTGCCTCTGCTGCTGCTGTTGCTGAGGTGTACGCATGAGGGGGCCCCCGCAGCATTACCCTCGTTCGAGAGACTGCAAGACCCTCTACACAAATTCCCCGGCAACGCCAGGGGCCCCACACCTGCAGCTCTTCGCCCCAGCGGGTGGAGGCCTCTGGGGGCCCCCCTCCTCTAGCGTTAACTGCTGCAGCTGCAGCCCGTCGAGATGCTTGCTGCTCCTGCTGCTTCTTCTGCTGCAGCCAGGAAGCCGCATGCCTCCTTATCTCTGCTACTGTTACCCTGAGTAAGGCTCCTGTGATGGTGGGGCCCTCAAGCTCCATTGCTGCGACGCCTGCGTTGTTAGGGGCCCCCAAACAACCTCAGGGTTTGTGCTAGGGCCCCCCCTGGTTAGCTGCTGCTAAGTAGTGTAGGGAGGGGGCCCCCATTGACACCCTAGGACGCTCCTGAGCTCTGTGTGGGGCCCCTGTAAGGGCCCACCAAGCAAAGGGATGGAGGAGGAGGTGAAGGCCCCAACATAGGCTGCTCTGGGGGGGCCCCTGCTAATGAGGGGGCCCCCGTTCAGAGGGGCCCCCCCAAAGAGAGCAAGGGCGTAGGAGTGAAGGCAGCAAACAAAGGGCCTCTCGCTTTATTCTTTTAGTTAGGCCTCTAATAGTGGCTGCAGCAACAGGGCCATCAGCCCCTTCCCCTCCTTCCCCCCTTCCCCTCTCTTGAGAAAGTCGGCGAACTGCTGACGACAGTACTGCAGCAGCAGCAGCAACAGCAACAGCAGCAGCAGCAGCAGCGGCAGTCTTCAGTGTAGATGAGCCAATTAATACCTACTGAGGCACTTTAATTGTTTTTTTTGTTCATCTTCGTTATTCCTCTTCAGGGCCTCCCTGATAGAGGTAGTGCGGCAGCAAGCGGAGTGACCTTGCTGCTGCTGCTGCTGCTGCTGCTGCTGCTGCAGCAAAAAACTGAAGTTTCTGCGCTGCTCTGTTGCTGTTGTTTTGGAGTAAATCATTTTATTGAGCGGCATTCCGACGGTGTTGCTGGTGTCTTTGCTGTTGCTGCTGCTGCTGCTGCTGCCGCTCTGAACAGATGGCACAAGGAGCAGCAGCAGCAAGGCGCCTGCTGCAGCAGCTCTCCCATCCTCTCTGTGGCTTTTTTAAGGCCCCTTGGGGCCTCTCTTTTTCGAGAAAGATGGCGACGTTGAGGGGTGGCTGGGGGCCTGACAGCGACCCGCTGATATCTGTAGAAGAGCTTGCTGCCGAACTGCAGCAGCAGCAGCAGCTGCAACAGCAGCAACAGCAGCAGCTGTTGCTCCTGGACTGCAGCAAGACCGACTTACCCATGTTTGGGGGCCGCTCTGCTGAGGAGGAGTTTCTTGCAGGCCCCCGCCTCCCCCACGCGCAGTACTTCTGCATAGACACCTGCAGCGACAGCAGCAGTCCATATCCCCACATGCTGCCTTCCAGGCAGCAGCTGCATGCGCATTTAGCTGCCCTTCTGCAGCAGCAGCAACAGCAACAGCAGCGAAAGCAACAGCAGCAGCAACACCCGCAGCAGCAACTCCAAGATACGAAGATTGTCTTATATGACTCTGTTGGCTTCTTCTCAGCTACTCGAGTATACTGGATGCTGCTGTGGGGCGGCTTGAGGGCCCGTATCCTTGAAGGGGGAGTTAAGGCCTGGAGGGCTCATGGCTGTCCCCTAGACGCAACCCCTCTTAGCCCAGACTGTCTCCTCCCTCTTGCGAAGACAGTAGATGCTCCTGCTGCTGATCCTGCTGCTGCTGCTTCACTTGCTGCTAACGGGAAGAATAAGTGCAACGGTGACCCCTGCGACTCATTAGTTGTTTCTTATACCGATGTCTTGATGGGCCTGGACGAGGCAGCAGGCGCTACCGAAGGAAGAAGCAGCAGCAGCAATAGCAGCAACAGCAGCAGCAGCAGCAGCAACAGCAATAAGGGGCCCTTTGTATTAGTTGATGTGCGCTCGCACGAGCGCTTCTGGGGTCTGTGCCCGGAACCGCGTGAGGGTTTGTATGGAGGCCACATTCCTTCTTCTTTGAATCTCCCCTTTACTACTCTCTTGCAATCTCATGCATTCTTCCCCAACAGCAGCAGCAGCAGCAACAACAGCAGCAGCAACAACAGCAGCAGCAGCAACGGCAGCAGCAGCAACGGCAGCAGCAGCGAGGGGCCCACAAGCTATCTCTGCCCCTTCAGCACATCAGCAGCTGCGCCTCCATATGGCTACGCAACTTTAAAGACAGGGCCTTCCCTCTTAGTCGCCTTGGGACCGTTGCTCGGCCGTGCGAACGTCATGGGCGTCCAGAAGCAGCTAAAGGCCTTCCAACAGCAGCAGCAGCAGCAGCAACAGCAGCAGCAACAACAGCTGCAGCAGCAGCAGATGTATCCCCATTTGGATTTTTCTCAGGCTAAACGGATCGTGTGTACTTGCGGCAGCGGAGTTACAGCCTGTATCCTCTTCTGTGCCCTTGTTAAGGTAAGCCCTCGTCTGCTGCTGCTGCTGCTGCTGCTGCTGCTGCAGCTTTTAGGGGGAGCAGCAGCTGCTGCTGCTTCTGGTTTGGTCTCCAGTGAGTGAACCGTCTGTCAGTCTCTGTCTCCTGCCTCTCCATTATTGGGTGCTGCTGCAGCTTCTCACATGCCAGCACTGCTGTTCTTGTTGCTGCTGCTTTTGCTGCAGATCGGGTACCCTCTATCGTTACTCTCTGTTTATGACGGTTCTTGGGCAGAGTGGGCGCAGCGACGGCAGATGGAGGCCCCCCTGGGGGGCCCCCATGATGCCCCTTACCCGACCCTTGTGCTGCCTCCGCCTACGCAGGAGCAGCAGGAGGCCCTACGCGCAGTAGTGAGAGCCCGCCAGGGTGGGAAGGAGGCTTCTTGAGGGCTTAAGAAGTCTTACAGTTGTTTGTTATTCTTTGCAGAGGCACTTGTTTTTGTTGTGGTTGTTTTATTCAAAGTTAAAGTAGTTAAGTAGGGTCTCTGGGACACGCATAGGCACAATCTGTCTAGAGACAGTCTTAAGAAAAGAAGCTGTCGGAGGGTCCCACGGCCTCTTGAAGGCCCTCTGAGCTCTGAAAGAAGAGAGGGAGGCCCCAGCAGTTTGGTGGGCCCTTATATGGTATATTTTGATAGTCCTCTGCACCTTTTTGTACAGATATAGGGCGTGTTTTTCCTTTATTTATTGCATAGCCTTCCTAAACACTGTATCCGCACACAGACATGGAAGGCCTTAGCTTCATTTCTAAGAGCATTTGAAGAAGCACTTTTAAGGGCCTTTTACTGGTCTTCAAGGGACTCCCACAATGCTTGAGACCACTGCTGAGCCCCTACAGACCCTGCGCTGCGCGCCTGGCCCCCCGTTCGAGACATAGGCTTTCGTAGTGTTAATTTATCACCTGGTAGAAGCAGAAGCCCAGCGGCCGTCTGAGGCCCCTGATGCATTCATACTGATGTCGCTATCCAGCTAGAATAGAGCTGCTGCGGGTGTTTTTCTGTTGCTGCTGCTGGTGTTGATGCAACAGTTGCACATACTGCTGCTGTGCTGCTGCTGTCTGCTTTAGTGCTGGTGCTGTTGCCTCTGTTGAGCTGGTGCTTCTGTCCCTTGTATTTCAACGCCTGTCCTCTTTGAAAACAACCCAGCCCAGAGCGACTTGAACGCCAAACCTTCTGATCTGGAGTCGCAGGCTAGCACAACAGCTGCTCCTGTAAGGAGGGAGAAGATCTGCAATTGATCCCCCCTCATGGAAGCATCAAACAGCTAGCTCATTCTGCTGAAGCAAGAAGTAGTAGTAGTAGTGCTGTAGCACCGCCCCAGAAGGTCGACTCGTGAGGCTGCCGCTGGTTCTTCGGCGGTTGTTGCTACTGCCATTGCTGCGGGGAGGCTTCCCTGCTTCTTTCTTAGCTGTCGATGCGGTCTTCCATCGTCACAAGGCATCTTGTTCTTCTGCTGCTGTTGGTGTCAGTTACTAAGAGCTGATGCGCCGCTGCAGCATCGGGCCTATGGCGCAATGGTAGCGCGTCTGACTCCAGATCAGAAGGTTGGGCGTTCGAGTCGCTCTGGGCTCATCTCGCCTGTGGGTGAAGGTTTTCCATCTTCCCTATTCTCGCCTCTTTCGACGTTTGCCTCTTTGCACAGGTGTTGCTCTAGAGTCATACCATCAAGGCCCCCCACGGGAAGGGGCAGGGAACGTTGGTGTACGGGTTCGATGTGTGCGGGATCCTCTTAAGGCAGCTGCAGCTACTATAGAGCAACTGCTGCAGCAACTTCGTGCTGCTGGGCGCTTGCTGCAGCAACTGCGTGCTGCTGGGCTCTTGCTGCAGCGTCCTGGCTGCTTAGCGTGAAGGCAGCACAGGAGTGCAGGATGATCTTTCTGAAGTTGTTTAGTGTAATTCCAGTTTCGCCCAAGTTGCTTACAGACAGTCAGAACGTAAGGGTTAAAGGTGGCTTGTTGGATTCTATGTTCGCATGTGGTGCTTCCTTTAAAAAAGAAGTTGCCGCAGAGTGTGATACAGCTCACAGCGCCCAAGACGTCTTCTCTAAGCTCGAGCCAACACGGTGCTCATAGACCACTCTGGGTAGGAAGTCTGGACATTGGAGAGGGCGTCAGCTTGCTTCTGGAAATTATTTTATCAATGAAATTTTGACGACGTTGTTGCTCACGAGGGTCCTCAGAAAAGATCGAGGAGTCGTCGCATGCTCGGTGTAATGAGAGTCTTCGGTCTTCACAGAGGAGAAGAGTGAGCTGCAATAGAGCCTGAATACAAGCAATACGAGCCTGCGAAAACCAGCTAGCTTCTTCTTATTTCTACAGTTCTCCTAGGTACAGGGGGACGAAGGCCTGCGTCTGATAAGGAGTTGTTGCCTGCCATGAGTTGCAGCGCACCAAATTGTAGCCCCTACTACATGGCAACCGTGCATACAAGGTGAACCAAGTAGCCTTTACTGCGTGCAGTAGAAGTGTAGGCGGCTGTTAGGCGCCTACCTGGCTCACGATAGCCGGCCTCCAAGCATGTAGAAATACACGTTCCATCATCTAGCAGGGTATGCAACTTCTGCTTCCTCCTTCCTCTCCAACCAGCATACGCCTTCTTGTGGATTGTCTCTCAGCTGGGGATCGGTGGACTGAGGGAAGCGTTGGAGCTCCGTTGGCTGCCTCTACAACGAGTGTTGTGTCTGCTGCTCCATGGTTTCCTTCTGTTCCCCCTCGTGCACTTCCTGCTATTGTTATGTCTCTTGCTGCTGCATCTCTTGCTGCTGCAAGAAGCGCTGCTGCTGCTGTTGCCATACTGTGCGACAGACCAAACAAAACGACTTTCTGGATGGCTGCAGGAGCATCTTCCCGAAGACCAGCCCATGCGGCCGCAGCCGGTTTTGGAGATGTCATTGTTGCTTGTGCTATTGGTACGGGGAGGCTTCCCTGCTTCTTTCTTAGCTGTCGAAGCTGTCTTCCATCGTCACAAGGCATCTTATTCTTCTGCTGCTGTTGGTGTCAGTTACTAAGAGCCGATGCGCCGCTGCAGCATCGGGCCTATGGCGCAATGGTAGCGCGTCTGACTCCAGATCAGAAGGTTGGGCGTTCGAGTCGCTCTGGGCTCATCTCGCCTGTGGGTGAAGGTTTTCCGTCTTCCCTATTTTTGCCCCTTTCGACGTTTGCCTCTTTGCATGAATTTGCCGCTAGGGAGCTTCTCGGTTGTGCGTACTATAAAGCCCAAGTCTGCAAGAAAGGAGACCGTGAGCTGCAGGAAACAATGCTGCTGTTGTTGCCTTTGTCTCTGCGTTTGCTGCTGTTACTCTTGCTGTTGCTGCTGCTGCTTTTGGCCGTATGGCGATGCTGCACCCTTCTACTGCGGCCGCATAGACGCCCTTTGCCTTGTGCCAAGGCTGGGCGCCGAATTTTTCAACGAATATCCCAACCTGCCGATGGTTGGAGAGCTCCCTCTAATGTTCACCTTCCTGAACGCTACGTGCGCGTTAGAGTCCACTATATCCAAGATAACGAGTAAAGGCCAAGTTCTATGTGTTGCAGTTTCTTGCCTGGAGGTCTTGTGCTTTCTTCATACATCCATGAGCGGGTGCAAGTATTGTACGAACGTCTGCAGCTGCAGGCGTACGGATGGTGGCTGCCACTAAGCTGGTGGCTGCCACTAACAAGGTCTCGGCTTCAACTCAAACAACTGTGTCTTCGTCTGCCCCAGGGAATCCACGAGAGCTGGAGAAAACCAGTCTAACAGCGCACTGTTGTACTATCACCCGTTCCACGCAAGTGAGGAAATCAAGGTCCTTCGATGAATCCTGCTGAGTATAGACGCTGCATAAGCGTGTCTAAGATAAGTTCAGTTGGTTCTTTGGCAACTGGGTGGTTCCGGGTTGCCACGCTGTGTTCGATGAAAAATAACCTTATAACTTCGCTCCAAAAGGAGCTAATAAACTTTGGGTCCCAGGTAACAGCGATACTTCCGCGGAAAACCATAGAGCTTCCACGCTTGAATAGTAGGTTCCAGAGGTTATTCATGACGAATTACGCCACTTTCTCGAATTTAAATGAAGTCTATCGGATGATGAAGTGGGCATGCTTGCAACGCCGGAAGTGCTGCCACAGCCGCTCACTGATAATAAACCCACACTGAAGTCCTTTAAAATCTCTGCCCAGACGAGCTTTGAAATCGCAAAGGCTCTGCAAGAGTTCGAGCTCGCGAATGCTTCTCGCCTTCTATTTATTTATGGTATTCTGGGCAAGTGAGGAAATAGTCCTCTGTTGAGCGGCGCATCTTTGGGTCGCAAAAAGGAGTTTCAAGACCAGCTCATCTTTGGCATTGACCTTTCCATGGCCTGCTAATGCATGTTCTTTTTCTTATATTCTTATAGAGAACTTCAAAACAAATTATTTTATTTAAAAATTTGAACCTATGATTTCCTGTTCCCAAATAATAATAATTAATGGTTTCCTCTTAAATAAATATGGTACATAATTGCCAATTCCTCCCCAAGCTTCTTCACGAAACGAATCTGGAACAGATTACCGGTGGATTCTAATCGCCTTCGCGTACCACACAAAGTGGCCTTCTGCGCTGTAGTGCTTGACCGGCCGCCCGTTGTTGACGCAGAGAAGAACGGTGGCCACGTGAGTATCAAAGGAGTGAGAGTGGGGAAATTTGTAACGGGAGCAGGAAGCAGATAAACTCGGCTGAGGAGCAAAATTACTTGCCAGAAACCCATCGGGCCTTGACATACGTGGCTGAGAAGTCACACTATGCGAGCAGGCAAGCCACCGAACACCTTTTGCAATATCCAAGAGTTGAAAACCCCCCGTCAGGAGTGTCAATCATTCAGGATTAATTTGAGCAGAAATGAACTGAAATGCCTGCCATGTAAGTGATGTTCACACGTCGTTACTCTCAACCAAACAGCGTAGAGCTATTTTTCACGCGGCGGATACTTCTGTTCGCTTTCTGTGGAACGATGTTAGCAGCAGGCGAATACTTGGTGCTTGTTCGAGTGGTTGAATTCATGAGAGAGCATCACGCTAAGTGCTATCTCACTGGCATAGCTTTTAAGAAGAAAGAATTCTGGAGGTCAGGGAACACCGCTACTGTCGACGATCTCATGTGTTTGGTATGGCTTCTGCCAGCTTTGTCTTGGGTTTCTCCCCAAACAGGGGGATTGTCCTTTGTGAGGAGTTCAATTAAAGTAGAAATGAAGCGACAGGGTTCAGGAGAAAGGCTGCAGGAGCAGGATGCGAGATCGAGGAACTTCTGAGCCTCATTCTGGTGTCCAGCGGTGCCAAATGTAACGAGCGTCCTTTATTTGAGCAGAGTCCATTGTGTGCTGAGATGGAGTAAAAATGCTCAAGAAAAGAGTTGCCCCAATAACCGCTGGCCCACCTCCAGTTCTCCTCTCAATAGCCTTCCCAGGGTCTCGGCATGGTACGGAGAGGCGGGGGCCTATTATTAGTTGCTACACACCCTGTTGAACGGTGTAGCATGCTCTGCCCGAGATTATTACGTGTATCTGTATGTGTACACAGGATGGATATTGCTGCCAAATGAAGTGCTGAACAGTTAAATTGATAGTGCATACAGAAGAAGGAGCTTAGCTCTGCTTGCATATGGAGCTTCGTTGCAGCAGGGGTTGCAGCCACGGGCTGCCCCCTCTCCGCGTCAGATTGACGCCTTGGTGCTACTCTGCTCACGACGTTTGGAGACTCAAGGAGAGGTTGTGTGTTCCTTGAGAGCCCCCTTATCTTAAACAACCTCATATATAATAATCCTACTTAAAACTCTTTTGCTGGTACGGCATCCCCCTGCTAAGATAGAGTGCCTTCGCTATGGAGGGCACTCCCTCATGCACGCATATCCAAGCACCCTTTGCTGCATGCCCTAATACAATTGAAAAACAAGTACTTGGCCTTCCACAGCTAACCTGCACGCAAGTAGAAGAAGACGTATCAAAGTAAAGCTGTCCCTGCTACTCAGAGTGTACAGACAGCTCAGGTACACTTTGCCCTTCTATCCTAGGCCGGGCATCAAGAAGGATTATTTATGCGTGAGACAAACAAACAGAGCATGAAAACCTTCAACAGGTAGTGAGCAGCACATATCTCCCCCAGGAGACTGTCGGCGTGTGCTGCTGCTGCTGCTGCTGCTGCTGCTGTTGCTGCTGCTGCTGCTGTTACCGCTGGTATGTTGTTGTTTCTTCTACTGTAGGCATGAAAAATAACTTCTCAGAAATGTAAAATATGCACCACGAAAAGATAAAACTTTCTATATTTCAATGCCTTAAACCGTAAACCCTAAACCCTAAGCCCTAAACCCTAAACCCTAAGGGGACTGCTGCGGCGGTGGAGCCATACTGGGGGCCCCGCGGGCGTCGCTCAGGGCGCTCTTCCACTGACATAAGAAGAAGATTTGAAGGATTACTTTTTTTGTATTGTTTTTCCAAAAAGGTATTAATTAGAGTTTGATGTTTGAAAGAATTAGGGTTTAGGGTTTGGGGGTAGGGAGCAGTTTGCAGGTGTTGTACAGATTGAAGCCACCATGAAATCTCCCGGTCTCCCCACTCAACTCGGCGCCTCTGTTGCAGATGTCTCCTTCGGCCCCCACTGATGCAGCCATGGCTGCTGATAAGGGGGCTACAGCTCAGCAACAGCAACAGCAGCAGCAGCAGCAGCAGCAGGCGGGGCCGCAGCAGGAGGAGCCCAAGCCGCATATTCATTTGCCGCCACCGCAGCAGCAGCAGCAACAGCAGCAGCAGCATGGTGGACAGCAGCAGCGGCAGCAGCAACGGCAGCCTTGCGCCCTCTTGTGCCACTTCCTTCCCTATGTCCTGGGGCCTCTAGTGCTGCTGGTTTTCTTCATATCTGTCTTTGCAGTTTACTACGGTGTTACACCCCCACATCGCCGCAGCAGCAAGTCAGGCACCTCCCCTCAAGGGCCCAACGAAGCAGCGGGGGGCCCCTCCTCTCACGGCGCATGGGGCCCCCTCAGTGCTGCAGGCAACGCTTACCCCTGGGGCTCAGCATCAGCAAGGGCAGCTGCTTGGCTTGAAAGGAAACAATACCAGGGGGCCCCCTTTGAAAGGGGTGTGGGGTTTTCTATAGGGGGTGAGGGGGAGGTAGTAGTACGCAGCTCTTTCTCTTCTATTATCACAGGCCGCCTTATCTCTTTTCCTTTAAATAATTCAGTAGACCCCAGAACACAGGTAAAACCTTTTGCTTGTCTTGTTGTTCTTGTCATTGATGGAGACACCCTACGCTGTGTCCCCGTTGCCTCGGATGCTGAGGTGTACGTACACCTCAGTCCGCAGCAGCAAAAGAGCCTCGCGCCCATTAAAGCTACACTCGAGACCCCCACTGAGGTGTACGTACACCGCAAGACCCCACCGCAGCTGGAGCTGACTCCCTGGAATGCCCGCTGCTCTCCTTTGTCTGCATGCACTCTAAAGATTCGCCTCTACGCCATAGATGCTCCTGAAATGAGGAAAGAGAGGAGAAGGGGGGCAGCAGCACTAGCAGAAGCAGAAGCACCAGAAGCAACAGCAGCAGCAGCAGCAGCAGCAGGGGAAGAGTACGGGTCTATGCACTTGGACGCAGGCGGGCAGCCGTTAGGTGTAGCAGCAGCAGCAGCAATGGCAGAGATGCTGTTGGGGCGTGTGGTGCTGGTGCAGCCTCTGCAGGAAGATAGATATAGGCGTCTCCTTGCGCGCGTATTGCTGCCTTCTGTCTCCTCAGAAGAGACAGAAGGGGCCCCTGCCTACTTGGCCTTCATTTTTTCTCTGGTGGAGCGTATAGGGAAGCTGCCTATAGCAGAGCCCAGACCCACTGCTGTTGCAGCAGCAACAGAGAGAGGCCGCCCTCGTACTTCTCGTAGAAACTCTCTTAGTAGAGGCGCCACTAACAGAGCAGATAAAAATACAAGACCCACTGGGGCCCCATCTATAGAGAACTCAGCAGATACAAAGGGGGGCCCCCCAGAGAGAAGGGTATCGAGCTACAAGAGGGGCACCAAGGGGTTCCCCACGACGGGCCAGCTAAGAAGCCCTATCGAACAGCCCACAGGGGCCCCCCAAGGGGCCCTCCAAGGGGCCCCAGAAGGAGCTCCTCAGAGGGCTCCTGAAGCCGCCCCTAATGGGGCCCCTCCAGGAAGCCCCACAGGGGCCCTCCCTGATGTCTCCAAGCCTAAAGCGTCTGTCTCGGGTTTGAGTCCGAGCCCTTCAGGTGCAAGTACCCCCTCTGTTGCAGCGGAGCTGCTACTGGAGTTGCTGGGGGCCCCCCAGGTGGAAGCTGACCCTTTTATGGTGCTGGACTTGGCTAAAGAGGCGCTGCAGCAAGCTGCGGGGCCCCCTGGGATCCCCGGTGTGCCTGAGGGGAAGAGAGAAGCAAAAATGGTGCAACTGCTGGAGGAAGGGCAGCCCGTGCTGCTGCACGATGTCGTTGATGTGATGCTGCGCCGCGGGCTGGGCTCCCTATACACCGGAAGGGGGGCTGTTTATGCGGGGCGTAAGCAGCAGCTGCGGCGGCAGCAGCAAGCAGCAATTAACAATAGAGAAGGAATCTGGGGGCTTCCCCCAGCCTTAAGGGAGAGCCCAGCGCAGTATAAACGAAGAATGAGGGAGCAAGAATTCAGCCTATATGGAGGCAGCATAGAGGCTACTGAGCCTTGGGAGGCGCCCCCCAGGAGCTACCGACGTAGCAGAAGAGCTACTTCATATAGGGGGCGCCGTCTGCCCCACGAAGATTGAATTACCCTTAAACTCCGAGAGCCCCCCCCCCCCACACATATATATGCATTACCTTAGCCAGACTGGGGCCCCCTAGCACGCAGTTATCCTTTGCCTGATGGGCCCCATATAGGGGCCCCAAGAAGCACGCTTGTTTGTTATTAGGGACCTGACAGGTAGTAATAGCCAGCATATGGCTTTGTAGGGGGCCCCCTGGCAGCCAGCATTAAAGCAGGCCTCGAAAGATCGGTGCCCACCCAAAGCCCCCTCCCTACGTTACCTATCAGCCAGCAGTATCTGCAGCAACCGTGCAGAGGGGGCCCTAACAAGCAGCATAATTTGCGTTTGCTGAGCAGGGGGGCCCCCCCCCAGCAGCCGCGATGCCGTCGAGGAGACAGTGCGTTGATGGGCTGCATCGTAGGCAAGTGAAGTGCTATTTGCTTGACTATTATTTACCTATTACTTTATCTTTTATTAAGGTTCTTCTCTAAAGGCTACCTATTAGTACTATTACTATGCTACTCAGTGCGTCTCCCCAGCAGCAGCAACAGAGACAAAAAAACAAAAAAAAAGACACGCAGCACAATCAGGAGGGTTCAAAGCCAGCGCATATAAACACTGAAAGAAAAAAGGTAAAAAGAGCGGCCCTCATCAGCCACCCACAAAAGCAAAGAGACTGTCTCCACAGAACAGTCCACCCCGTTGGCCCCACTGCAGCAACAGCTGCTGCTGCTGCTGCTGCTGTTGCTGCTGTGTCTGGCGTTGTGGGGTACGCAGCACCAAGACGGGCTAGGTCTCTCTATCTCTTCTCTTTCTCTCCCTTCTTGTAAAGGCAGCAGCTCTTGCTGCTGCTAAGGCTGCCCTAAAGGTCGGCTGTGTGGAGGCGTAAACTGTCTCCTCTTGCGCATATTATATAATATATTGTATACAAGTAAAGTTCACGGCTATACAAGCACTGGACTAGAGTATAGCACAGGGAGGAGACAGCTGTCTCCTCCAGCTGTCTCCTCAGGTGTCTCCTTCAATCGGACTCCCCAGAAGCCTCTGCAAAGGCAGAGAAACGGTTATCTGTATGTACAGCTGGTGGTGCTGAGAGGCGCATCCTGACAGCAGCAGCACACACAACCTCCAAAGCCCTAAACCCAAAACCCTTATCCCCGCTAGCAAAGACGCAGAGGCCCCTTACAACACGCGAGGAGACAGGCAGCCGAGGGTAAAGACAACAAAAGAGACAGACAACTAGGGACAGGGAGACAAGCTACGCGAGATGATACAGCAGCACAACGCAAGAGGAGACAACGAGGCAGAGAAGGGAGACAGTAAAAGGTACACACAAAGAGACAGCGAGGACAAACCCAAACACTAAATTAAAGAAAATTAAAAACATAAAGTCAAACACGTCACGCTGTCTGCAGAGTCCCTTGATACCAGCAGCAGCAGCAGCAGAAACAGAGACAAATAGCAGCAGAAACACCAGATATGAAAGCAAAGCAATCCTTACCCATCTCGAACGGCATTCGGTTGCGATCTGCTCCCTTGCTGCTGCTGCCGCTGCTGCTGTTGCTGCGGCGCTGCAGACTCCCTAGCAGCAGCAGCTCCTGCTGCTTCACCGCCTGCCGAGGCCCCTGGGGCCCCCTGCTGCTCTTCAGGGGCCCCCGCAGTCACAGACCGTCGCTCCCCCATTCCCCCACTACCGCCTTGTCCGCCGCTGCGTCCTAATCCCCCTGTACAAAGCAGCAGCAGCAGCAGCAGCAATAGCAACAACAGTAGCAGCAATAGTAGCAACAGTGCCAGCAACAGTAGCAAGAAATAGAGACACGCTCCCTGCCCTGCCCTGCAGCAGCAGCAGCTGCTACACTGGCAGCTACAACAGCAGCAAGCAAAACACCAGCAGACGGACTGCCTTTGCCTTCGCCTCGACCCAGCGGCTCTCCGCCTCCTGGTGAACCTGCAGCAGCAGCAGCAGCAGCAAAAGCAGCAGACAAGGCAAGCAATCTTTACTCCTCAACAAGAAATGCATGCACCAGCCACGAAAAAGTGCAGTCAGTGGGTGCGAAGCCGAACCACCAGCAACAGCAACAGCAACAGCAGCAACCAAAATAGCAGCAGCAGCAGCAGCAACAGCAGCTAATGCGTTGAATGCCTACCCTGGTGTCTCCACTTTCTGTTAGCAGTTTTATCTTGTTCATCTTCCCTCTTACTCCGCGCAGAGCCTCGTTGCCGGCGCTGCCCCTTCTCACGCAAAGGTGCTATCCCTGCAGCAGCAGCAGCAACAGAGCAGCTTCTGATGCGAATACAGCTGCAGCAGCAGTAGCAGCAGTGCTCCGAAGAAGCAGAGGCAATAGTGGCAACAGAAACGTAGCTGGCATAACTACAGCAGCAGCAGCTGCTGTGGCAACAGGTGCAGCAACAACAGCACCTCCTGCTGCAGCAATAGCAGCAGCTGCTGCAGCAACAGCACCCGCAATGCTGAGGAAGCAGTCAGCCCATACTTACCGGAAACAGTCGGCGAGGCAGCAAGGCCATCCGCACAGCCCCCCATCTCCGCCTAACAAACAGCAGCAGCAGCAGCAACAGCAGCAGCGATTTCTTGTGCAGCAGCACAGGGTCAATAATGATGTACTGATACTCAGCACCCGTACAGCAGCACCAGCAGCAGCAGCAGATGCAGTAGCATGCGTGTAGCAGCAGCAGAGACAAAAGCCTCTTCTGCTGCTTGCTGTATCTCCTTAGCTCACACTGCGCGGATTCAGGCTGCTGTTGCTGCTGCTGTTCCCCGCTCCTGCACCGGTCGATGCAGCAGCAGCTGCAGCAGCAGCAGCAGCAACAGCAGCAGGGCCACGCTGGCCATCCTTTGAAGGCCTCCTCTGAAACAAGGAGCCGCTACCAGATGAACTGGGGCCCCACCGGGGGGCCCCTCTGCCCCCGCGCCAATCGTCTCGTCCTCCGCTGCCTCGGTGGCCGTGCTGCTGCTGCTGCTGCGGTGGCGGTGGCGGCGGCGGCGGCAGCTGCTGCTGCTGTGGCGGTGGCGGCGGCGGGGGCTGCTGCTGCTGCTGCTGCTGGGGCTGTGGCTGGCTCGCCCCGTTAGGCGCCCCATCCGAGGGCCCCTGATGTGCTGTGCCCCCCTCAGGAAGCTGCTGTGGCTGCTGTTGCTGCTGCTCCTGCTGCTGCTCCTGTTGTGCTCCGTGCACATCAGCAGCAGGCCCCTCACTTCTCGTCTGCCACGCCTGAAGCAGAAGTAGCAGCAGCAGCAACCTCAGCATCAGCACCAGCAGCAATTTGTGGAGGATCTGTTATATGCCGCAGCAGAAGCAATTCAAGCAGAGGCCCTGCCCCGTATCTCACCTGTCTTCCCTTTGTCTTCTTCCCTTGCTGCTGCTGCTGCTCCTCTTCTTCCTGCTGCTGTTTTGCTGCCCTCTCTGGAAACAGCTGCGAAGCCAGAGGGCCCGCCCTCAGCGTCCCCGGTGCTGCAGCAGAGCTTGTTTGCTTCTGGTGCTGCTGCTGCTGCTGCTGCTGCTGCTGCTGCTGTTGCTCCCCCGGTGCCCTCGCTGCCTCGCCGGACCCTGATACTGCACACACTTCCCTGACCGTTACAGCCGGTCTGCTGCGTTGCTGCTGGGGCCCCCCGAGCGACCCCCTGCTGCTAGTGTTGCTCTTTCCAGCTGCATCACCTGCTGCGTCTGCAGCACTGCTGCTGCTGCTGTTGCTGCTGCTGCTGGCACTGTCTTGGCCCCCTCGCCAGCCTCGGCGTATAGGCGAAGCTGCCTCCTGCTGCTGCGCTCCTGCAGCACCAAGTCGGGGCCCCCAAGCCGCCCCAGGCTGGCGCTCAGCTGCTGCTGGCGATCCTGGAGCAGCAGCAGCAGCAGCAGGCGAGCCCTTCAGATGAGGCCCCTCTGCTGCAACCGAGGACGAGTGAGGCTTCATCGAGAGTGATGCCCGCTGCTGCTGCTGTTGCGGAAGCACACACAGACACACATGCAGCACAAACCCTTCAGCAGCAGCAGCAACCAAAGAGCAGCAGGAAGGGCAGCAGCAGCAACGGAAATATCTGTTGTGAAGCCAGCAACATCAGCAGGGATTGCTTGCCCCCCCGACAGCAAACCCTGCTGCTGCTGCTGTTGCTGCTGCTGCAGTTGTTGTACATACCTCTTGAGGAGAAATAAGAGGAAGACCCTCACGAGGCTTTGCCCCACAAAGAGGGTCCTGGCGGCGTCTCTGCTTTTCAGGTGAGTTATGCCGCTGCTGCTGCTGCTGCTGCGGCTGCATGCTGCTTCTCCACCGCATCTGCTGCTGCTGCTGCTGCTGCGGCTGCTGCTGCTGCTGTTGCTGCTGCTGCTGCTGCGGCTGCGGGGGAGGTGGAGGCGGTACAGGCATCTTAGGCAAACCCGGCTTAGGGGCCCCTTCTCTCCCTTCTCTCAGCCGCTGCAAGACTGCTGCTTCATCTCGGGGCTTTGCTTCACCGAATATAGCTGGATTCAGCTTCAGCCTGTACACCCAATCAGCAAACCCTAAACCCTAAACCCTAGGCCCTAAACCGCATGCTCTAAACCCTGAACTCTAAACCCTAGGCTCTCTTACTCACCCTTGCGGCTTCAACTGCTCCTTAAGGAGGTCCTTGGGGGCTACTAAAGGCGTCGTGGGGGCTGTCCCGTTGGTGTTGCCGCTGCCGCTGCTGCTGCTGCTGCTGCTGCTGCCGCTGCTGCTGCTGCTGGCATGTTCTTGCTGCTGCTCCTTGCTGCCTCCCGGTACAGGAGGAGCAGCAGCAGGAGCGTTAGTTGGTGCATCGGTTGCTCTGCCTTTCTTCCTCCATTTATTGTCGAGATTGACTGAGCGAGGGCCCCCCTGGGGGCCCCCCCCTGAGGGGCCCCTACTAAGGGGGGAGCCTCCTGCTGGTGCTGCGGTTGCTGCGGGGCCCCGGCGGTGCTGTGCATCTGCAGCAGCAGCAGCCGTAGGTGACCCTGCAGCAGCAGCAGAAGATGGGCCCCCTAATCCACCTGAGCGGAACTTTGAAAAGCATGCATCTAAGCTGTCTGGAGGAGGCAGCTGCACTTTTAAAGTTAGGGGCCCCTTTGCTGCTCTGTCCCCTCGGGGGCCCCCCCCACCCAGAGCGCCGCCTCTCCTCGGTAGGGGTCTTCCGTTCATAGCCAGTGCAGCACAGACAGCCTCGTGAGATACAAAAGAAACCTCCGCTGAACGCAGCAGGTGCGTATACACCCCAATGCATGCAATGCATGCAAACGCATGCAGACAGAGAACAGAACTAAACAGCTGCCCCCAGAAGCAACAGACGAAGGGAGACATGCACCGCAACAAAGAACTGATAAAGGAGACATCCGCGGAGACAGAAGCACAAAGAAAAACAAAGACGGAGACAGACGGAGACAGAAACAGAGGCAGCAAGACCGAGAGCAGCACCGAGACACCCAGCTAGAAGCAGCATCAGCAGCAGCAGCAGCAGCAGCAGCAGCAGCAGGGACAGCCTACCGGAGATGGTGCCGCTTCTGTTTCTGCTGCTGTCTCCTCTTCTTATATGCACACGCTTCACCCCCCCAAAGAGCGCAGAGATGTCTCGCTCCGACATTCGGGGGTCTAAGTCAAACACTAACAGCTCCCGCACGCCTTTGTCTGGCACTGAAGAGACACCATAAAGGAGACACTTACAGGAGACACTTGTGCAGCAGTGAGGAGACACTTGAACGAAAGAAAACGTCCAAAGGAGACACTTAAAGGAGATACTTGTGCAGCAGTGAGGAGACACTTGAATGAAAGAAAACACCTAACAAAAGGAGACACTTGTGCAGCACTGGGGACACACTTAAACAAAAGGAGACACCCATGCAGGAATAGGAGACACTTAACAGGAGGAGACACTTTCGCAGCAACCAGGAGACACAAACAAAAAGGAGACACATGCACAGGAATGAAGAGACACGTAAGAGGAGGAGACACCTATGCACCAACGAGGAGAGAAATGAATAACACACACACGAAGGCGGATAGACATGCATACAGCCCAAAGGGGACGCAGAAAGACAGAAGAAAAGCACATAAAACACAAAGGAGACAAGCAGCAAAGCAAAAAGGAGACACCCAAAAGGGAGATAGGCGGCATTAGAGACAGATGCAGGAGACACACAGGGAGGTCAACGAGACAAGCAAGTAAGACAAACAAACAATAAATAAGGAAACAAAAAGGAGACAGGCAAAGACGCAGAATAAACAAAGAGGAGCAACACAAAGCACAGCGGGAAAGAGGCACCAGCTACACGCAAGGAGACACCACAAGGAAAGAGACAGAGAGACGCAGCAGCAGAGACGAGAAAGAGACAGAAAAACAAAAGGAGACAGGAGAAAGGTAATGCCACTGTGGCGTCACCCCACAGGAGCGCAGCGCGATGCATCCAACAGCAGCAACAACAGCAGCAGTAGCAGCAATAACAGCAGCAACCTTAGCCGCGCCCCCCTACTGTACAGCTACAACATTTGGTTTAGGTTGTGGCTTCAGTATACATACACCCCAACACAGGTGCAAGAAAACGCTTAAATACGAAAAGCCCAGATGCTGCATGAACAGCAGCAGCAGCTGCTGCTGCTGTAGCACCGCAACCAGCTGCAGCAGCAGCAGCAGCAGCAGCAGCAACAGCTGGATGCATGTCTCACTTGTGACTGGAGGAGGCGGCACCTCAGCTCTGCCCAAACTCAGAGGTGGAGGAGACGATCCCGGAGCCATAGGATCGAAGGCTGGAGAGTCAAGATCATCGCTCTCATCCGCCCAGCGATTCCGCCTTAAGCTGCCGTCTCCTCCTTCAGTAACAGGGGAGGTGTCTCCTGCTGCTGCTGCTGCTGATGCTGCTGGAGCTGCTGATGATGCTCCTTCTCGGGCTGCTGGTTCGCCTGTGCCACCCTCACCAGCTGCTGCTGCTGCTGATGATGATGAAGGGCCTGCTCCTGCAGCGGCTGATGGGGGGGAGGACGTCGCTGCTGCTGGTGCTGCTGGTACTGCTGGTGGTGCTGCTGCTGCTGGTGCAGCTGCAGCTGGCGACAACACCCTCGAACCTTCTTCAGAAACGTCTCCCGTGCTGGATACGGGATCCGCACGATCCCCATCTTGGGGGCCCCCCGTAGCTGCAGCGCAGCAGCTGGAGGTGATAGCGCCTGAAGGCCTCCTGGGGCTCTCCATGCTGCTGCTGCAGCTGCCGGCGCCTGTGCAGTGTACGTACACTCTATTTATAGCTATACAAGAACAGCACCAACCGTAAGAGTCGCGAAGGAGGGCCCCCTGTTGCTGCTGCTGCTGCTGCAGCGGGAGGCCCTGCGGATTCCACGGGGCCGGAGGGGCCCCCAAACACCAACGTAGAGGACAGACAAAGGTGTGTTGTTTGTTTCTTCTCTCTCTTGTTTAAAAGGCAGGAGCTGGAGAGAAAGTGGCGAAGATCGCCTAGTGCTGCGGTCGCGGCCGCAACTGCTGCTGCTGCTGCTGCTGCTGCTGCTGCAATCGCCGCCGGAGGCAGGGCCCCGAAACAGGTATTCAAGCGGGCCTCCTTAGCAGCAACGCTTCCTAATAGTAACAACACCTCAGGGGCCCCCAAAGGGTACCGGCCTACACAGAGGCAGCCGCACGCTCAGGGCCTCTGGCGCTTGCTGCGGCACAGCAGCAGCAGCAGCGGCAGCAGCAGCGCTGTGTCAAGGGCTCCTACAGCAGCACGAAACAGACAGAGACACGAATACAGTAGAAAGTACGAGTTTGCAGTCTTCATATAGTATGCACATCGATGTCAACAGGGAGCCGCTGCTGCTGCCTTGGCAAGCCGCCACAGCTGCTGCTGCTGCGGCTGCTGCTGCTGCACTGGGTACCTCCCCGGTGCAGTTGCTGCTGCTGCTCTCCTCCTTAATGCGCTTCCCTCCTGCGTAGTTCCACGCATTTAGCTTAAAATAAACAAAGAGGGTCTCTTAACAAGTGCTTATTGGAGATCTGCGAGGGCTTCTGAGGCTACTTCTCTGCTCCTGCGCTGCAGGTGTTGCTGCTGCGGCTGTCGCTGCTGCTGCTGCAGCTGCTGCGTTGTTGACAGCAACAACTCTGCAGACATGGCGTTGAAGATCTCGAGGCAGCATGCAGTCCTATATCGTCAATTTCGTCTTTGTTTGCGTTATGAGCGCTCCATATTAACCCCAGAGCCACTACAACCCCACGCGCCTACTGCGGGGCTTGCCTCCCGCTGCCCTCTTCTTGTTCTGTGTTGAGAATTACTTTATAGCTTTTTGTTTAGAAATATGTTTGGGGTTCGGTATGTGCTAGCTTACATATAGAGTTTGATACGGCATTACTTCTAGTAGTATTAGCCGCACCCCTGCGCACCGCAGCTAACTCGGTCTATAATCCTTACAAGTACATATTGTAGTAGATTCGTTAGAGTGTGTGTGTGTGTTTCTGCCTGCGCGCGCGCTGGCTCATGGGGGATAAGCAAGCTTAAATAATCGTGTAAGGCGTTACTGCATGCGTCGATAGGTGGCTTCGGTGTGCCCTTGTGCGGGGGTGGTTTCAAGCCCGGAAGTGCAGCAACGTGTGCTGTAACTGCAAGGAAGCTATTTCCCAGCTGCAGCAGCCCCAAGCCCTCGGGTAGCAGTGCTCAGGTTGCTTGGAGACTAGAGACGAGGGCAGAAACTCTCTCCTTCGTAACTCAGGGCGGTTCTTTGCTCAGGAGGACTCTCGAAGCACCTGGTTGCACTGCGTGGTTCAGAGGGATCGCACATACAGTGATGACCACCTGCATATCTGGCCGGCGGGTTACGTACTACTAACTAGTCTTGAAGGCGTCTTGGGAAGAGGAAAGAGGCGAACTCTTCCTGAAAATTCAGCCTTCTTCCTCTTGCATCATCAGGATTGGTGAAGAAATACCGTCTGATGAGGGGAAAGCTAACGGGGAGGCACCTCATCACACTAAAACAAAAGCAGTATCCTCATACCATCCAGCAGGAAACGTGTTTAAGGCGAAAATAGTACATGAAGAGTGCCTCTGCCTTGGGCGACAGTTCCGACGACAGGAGCACCGATGCGGTGGCGGAGGGGGCTTTCCCTGTTCCTCTTTCGCTGTGCATTCATCTTCAAAATGTATCGGAAAAGCTACAGTTGTCATTGGCATCATCTTTGTTAGAATGGGCAGCGCAAGAGTGGTGGCTCCCTCCTAAGAGCACCAGTCCTCGAAAGCGCACCTGGATTATGCAAGCTTTCTGAGATGCTCTGAGATGTAAGTTCAGTCCTAGGTTGGCAGGAGAATATGGTATGGGAAAAGGAAGAAAACGTAAACAAAAGAAGCTAACAATCGAGCGTTACCCAAGAAGTATCATCGCTGCGTGAACAGAAGTCCAGCGTGGGCTCGCAGCTTCCTTCCTTATCAATGGTTAATTGCTGGCTGCAACCTGGAGAACGATAATCCGTAGCTATATTGAAGGCAGTGAAGATAGTATGGGGTAAACGGATGAAACATACCGAGATGGCGAAATACTTACCCATGAAAAAAAAGAAGAAAAGAGATCCGGCAGCTTAACTGAGAAGAAGCAAAAGTGTCTTGAAAAGTGCCCCAGATGGGCAGCGCATGCATTTTGGGTCTGTGAATCTCAGACACTGTGAGAAACAGGTATGAAGCCAGAACATGCAGCAACCGGCGAGTCGATCACTTAGAATGCCAAGGGAGCGTACCATGCACCGGGGTGCGGCTGTCTTGCAGTGCATCTTCTTCTCTTGCAGCAAACAAGGCAACATAATTTGCCGTTGACTGTGCATGAAAATAGCGAAGAAGCTGAAGAAGAAAGCCAATGAGGAGCGCCCGCTGGGCAACCAACACACAGCGTGTGTGGCAGTGACGGGGCTGAAGGAGGCGACAACCGTATCTGCTTGCTCTCATCGAGTCAACACTGTGTTTATTCACGCACATATTAATGACCAGACGTTGCTGGCACTACTTTACTCAGGCTGAGAAGTGGATCTGGCACCTGAAGGTACGGCGAGAAGGCGCAATCTACTTGTCTATTCGTTGACGAAATTTCTGCAACGTCGCTTTACCGATGGGAGATAGTACACGACGTTCAGTAAAAATATCAGGATAATAGAAATAAACTACTCATTAATTGGGCATATTCCCGTGCTGCAGGACCGCGACGCCTTCACCTAGAGTGAGTTGAATGCGAGGAGAAGCAACGAGATAGTGCACGAGATAGCGCACCTCTCAGCTTCCCCAGCACCATTTGAATCCTCTACGATAAGAATATGTGAATCAATCTACCAAGAACAAAGCAGGGAGTAGGATCCAACACAGTACGGAAACGATGGAGAAATGCATGCGTGTTGCCGTGATTCACGACGACCAAAGTTTTGGGGGGTTCCATGCAATTAACACCCGTCGTCGTCAGAAGTGGGCATAGTTGAAGAAAGACTTCTCATATGTACCTTTTAGAAAAAGGACCTCAGGGCACGTTCTTTGAGCACCCTCAAGCTTTGCTCCGAGATGCGCGGGCTCGCAACTCCTTGAGGAACACGAGAGGCAAGTAGACGAACTGCTAAGGAAAGCCAACAGCCTACCACGAACTAGCGTGTTTGGATACAAACCAATGCTGGTGAGGAAAAGTGGAGTTCCTCAACACAACCACAGAGAAGAGAAAGTCTTCCGAGTCCCTGGACTGACGAAGGCGTTGGGCGTGTTCAGGGCTCAGCAATTTTGCCTATTAGTTAACTTAGCTGACGAGGTTTTGCGTATCCCTGTACAGTACTGGCAAAGGCGTAAAAGATTGCGTTGCGTCCGTGCACTCACCTACCAGAATACACCTGTATGCTTCTTGACCTCGTGAAGAAGTTCGCCATGCCGTAGTAGTAGGACTCTCTGCTGCGTACTTTCGTGTGAACACATTCGTTCGCAGAACGATCTTACCCACAATCATCCCACCATTTATCTCGGCTCTCTAAAACGGGCTAGAGAATCACTCAAGCTTCATATATCTTTCCTCCACAAACGAGGGCAACGTTACTGCGAGAAAAACGTACCGGAAGGCGCGCCTGCCAATGAGTATCCAAGGATATCTCACACAAACGTGAAGACCCCACACAAAACGTTAATATTACGGGACAGGAAACTGACGGGTTCCTGAGGATGCTCACTCGAAGTCTTCCTTCAGGAGAATTTAGCTACTCTTCTTGATACAGCGCCAGAGAACACAGGCTTGAGCTTACACACCACGCTTTAATTCTGGTCGATCTACCACCTTTGTAGATATTTGTTTCGCTGGGGTTGAACAATGGCATGAACTCCACATCCACGTGCCTTGTGGTATCCATTATTCTTTATCTGTGACCTGCTCCCCTCCCTGTACCTACGACCAGCTCGGCGTTGCAGCAGACGGCATCCTCATTTCTAAATGCACCAGGTTCTTCCTCTCATCTTGGGCTAGCCTAAACTGCATCAGCATTGCTTCGACTGAAGCAATAGTGCGGGCTTCCTTTTGTCTAGATTAGGATGCCCATGGGAAGCGTGACTCTCATCTCACGTCAGCTGTGAACATTATTTCTTCTGAGCAAGGATAAAGCACATGTAATTGGAGGCGGCAATAATAGCATATATATGCTGCATATGCAGCAGTTCTCCATACATTTTTGGTTTGGGACACAGAAACGCAGGGGCGTGGGTCAGGTGAAGAACGTCGAGGAGGCTCCTGCACGCAGTGCTACTCCTCACATACCACAGGAGAGAACCCTTAGAAGAGGTCCTTGCCTTGGCAAAAAAGCGACTGGAGTAGGCTGTGCTCCGCTGCGGCGGATTTCCCGCCTCAGTGTGGGAGGATGCAGCTACGAACGATAAGGAAGAAGCTGCCTAGTATACTCAAACAACAGCACGCATTCTTCTCGGGTGCGCTCGAGGTTGACTTTGCAATACAAAGAGAGACCCGTGAAGGAAACGAAGAAACAATAGTCTCAATAGGCTCATGAACCCTGCATTAGTAGCTCCGTTACTGTGGAGACGAAGAGGCGGCCCCCTCATACGAGGAAAACGGAAGACCCATGGGGTCAGTGGCTTTGGCTAGGTGCCGAGGCACCTCAGTTAAATTGAACGAAGCAACGCAGAGAAAACCTATGGATCTCCGCTGTGGTGTATATAACGCCCTGTCAGGGGCACTGACACCCAACAACCTACTTGCCCACCTAATAAGATGCCTTTATGCTATTCCTTCACCTCTTACATCTTCCTTCTTCGTTTATTCCTTAAGCCGGCGCATTACCGCCTGTTTCCAGCGTAATTGATACTTTACAAAAAAATGAGACACCCTTTCCTCCGACATATTTTTTGTATTTAAATCGCTTCAAAGTTCAACGCGCCACTTTGTTGAATGGCAAGCGCAAAAGCTGCAGCAGCAAGAAACAGAATATGTCTGTGCTGCGCCTTTGTGTGTGAGCCTTTTTCTGTTTTATGGTGAAGGAAACAATTACTTTTCATTGCAACATTCTCCGAACTGTATATGAAAAACCGGTTGCCAAACGCACAGGGCTTATGCGTAACGATAAAATAGCAAAGCCTTTACAGCAACATTTTCTTATCTTATCATCACTTGCTTGCGCTAACAGCTCTGTGAGGAAGGCCCCAAGAAGACGAGGAAGAAGAGACTTGCATGCGGCGCTGCAGCGTATGTGTGGGGACATGTTATGCAACAGATCCTTGGAGGGGAACAGCTGGAGTACCAGCAGCAGCAGCAGCAGCAGCCACTGTTCAATAGGCCACACGAGTAGGAGATGCCGTATAATAGCTTTGGGCCACCGGAAGGGGGCAGTCACTGCCTATGGTCTCAAAACTTCAGTGGCCTTCAGTGGGTTGGGATCCACTCCTCCCACAACTCATTCATTGCCGCATATGCTTCTTCTTCTTTGACCCGTACCAGTCAACTCCACGTAGTACGGGTGCAACACCGAGCAAATGTCATACTTCAACAGTAGTTGCTCTTTTTCCAAAATATCTTCCTCTCTTTCATGAAGCGGGTTGTTCGGTCTTTGGCGGTCCGCAGAGGGGGAATCCAAGGAGGCCCTTCGGCGTCTCTGGGGAGTCGGGGAATGCATAAATGCTTCGGCCTCTTTTAGAATGTCCATTACCACCTGCAACGACACGTACGCAAAGAGCGCAATGTTTATATATATATATATATATATATATATATATGGTAGAAATATAATATGAACTGTATGCATCGCATATATTTCGCATATATATATATATATATACATATATATATATATATATATGACCATACATAATTGAAGGCACGGGCAGAAAAAGGAGACGGACACGACAACCCCTCAAAACAAACTCCATTTTCCCCCTCAGCTTAATCACTCGGCGGGCACACAGCCCAGGGCAACCACATAAAGGAGCACATCTGTCTCCTTCTATGTGGCTTTTAGAGAGGGCCCAGTGGTAATTGTGAGCCTTCTGTTGAAGTGCAATGGGGTTTCTATTGCTTGCTTGCTACCAGTTAATCAGCAAAGAGTAGGATGTGTGGAGGGAGGCCTTAAGGGAAGTGTTGATGGAGCAGTGTGGTTTGTTATATTGTTTGTTGATATTAATAGCTATGGATAGGGAGTGTAGAGACAACTCACGGTGAAATCAAGACCCGTTATGAACTCAACTACTGTTAGAGGAACCCTTAAATCTATAGACTGAACGGCACTTGAGAGGGCTTTGTTCGGCAGCAGGAAGCTTCCAACGGCAGCAGTAGGAGCAGCATCCATAGTGTAAAGGTATCCCATCTTTGTTGTAGGGCGCGGAAAGTTGCCCCCTGTGGGTGCTATCTTGGGGCTAACAGCTACGATGACTTTAAAGAAGTGGGTGGGGACAGGCATCATCTGCCAGCCAAAGAGAGAGTATTGGATGTGCAGCGGGGGGGGCAGGGGAGACATCTCTGGCTCTTTAACAGATATCCTCCAAGTGCATGCGTCGAGGGCCTCAAGCAAAGGAGGACTTCGCAGCATCCACCGCTCCACACGTTTATTATTATATCCTTTATCCTCTCGTGGAAATGCCTTCATAAAACGCCTACCTAACGGGTTAGGGAATGGAGACCCAAGTATAGCCTCTACACTCACAGGCAAACCTATACGCGCACCCCTCCAAGGCCTGAGATTCAATGCAGAAACAACACAAGACACACACACATACACACATACACACAGACTGGGACGCACACGCAGATACATGCAGATACATACACACCTTTGCAAACGCGCATATACACACACTTCATAATCATCCGCATCCAAGTATATATATATATATATATATGTATATATATATATATATATATATATATATATTGCGCTGACGCATATGTCTACATGCAGATGCATGCATACGTATGATGTCTACTGGCTGCATCATGCAAAGAAGAAGAAGACGTGTGCGGCGTGATTAAGAAAGAGGTAAGAAGGGGGGAAGGTGTAGCGTTGAGGGGATGACGTTTAAAAAGAATCAGGAGGAGACATCAGCACTACTCACAGACCTTAAACACATGTACGCCCGCCTGTTTCCAGCAGCAAAAATTGTTCCTCTCGGTCGAGGGGTTGCGTACACCCCAGGCCAATAGGCAGAAGAATCAGAGGGGAACCATGCGGGGCCAGTGAACACCACAACATCTTCGAAGTATCGCTTTGCAATACCCACCATGCGCTCTAGGGAGTTCCTGCAGCAACGACACAGCAGCAGCGGCAGCAGCAGCAGCAACAGCAGCAGCAGCAGCAGAGAGAGCGGCAAAAGAAAAGCAGAACACAGCAGCAGCAGCAGCACCAACAACAACAATAATGCCCTTGAAAGCTAGCTGCACACGCCTAAGACGTCTATGCATGCGGGAGTGCTGTGACCACTACAAAAAAGTAGAGACAGTTAAAGGCAGTCAGAGACAGTCTGAGAGAAAAAGGCCCTTAAAATAAAAGAGGCTTATATGGAGAGAAGGCGGCATTCAGAATAAGAGACAGAGAATGAACGAAGGGACAGAGGAAACGAGAACAACTAAACAAACAACGCTAAGGAGACACCACAGTAAAGAGGGCGTGAAGACAGCACTGGAACAAACAAACATTTGCAGAGAGAGAGAGAGAGAGAGAGAGAGAGAGAGAAACAGAGAGACTGAGAGACAGTGAGAGAGAGAGAGAGGCAGATCAAGGAGATACGACGAGGCACAGACAAAAGAGAAAGAGAAAATACAGAGAGAGCAAGGGGGAGACAGAAGAAGAAGATCCTACCTCTAGGACAAAAAACAAAGACAAGACAAACAAGCATGCAAATCTGCTGCAGCTGCAGAGAAGACAAGTAGAGATCCCTCTTATTAACAAAGGAAGAGGCTTAGCTTGCATATTCAGCGAGAGGGATAGAGACAGAGAAGGGCACCAAAGGAGACAGAGAAAGCTACGCAAAAGGAGACACAAACAGAGAGAGAAAGAGAGATAGTATGCAAAGCACGATAAACAGAAGACGGCTGCATAGTCTAAGGGACAGAGAAGAGAGTGTACGCGTCGCTTCAGGAGACAGTAGAGGAGACAGTAAAAGGGAGACCTCTAGGCACTAGAGGCACCCACCAGTGATCGTTGTTGAGGGCCTGGTTTTGAGGTGAAATGTTAATAAGCAAATGATCAATGTTAGGGTCTGTCTGGTGGTCTCCTTTCGGAGCTAAGTGTCCCCTCGTGAACCCTGCGCTCCCACACAGGCACCCAAACCCTAAACCCTAAACCCTAAGCTCTACACTGTAAACCTCTTCGACTGCCAGATGCATAGTGGGGTTTTAGGGAGGCACTGCAGAAGTACGAAAAACCCGCAAGCAGCGGTAGGTGCAGCATCAGCTGCAGCATCAGCTGCAGCAGAAGCATGCTGCTACCACTGCTGTCTGCTGAAGCAGCAGAGCAGATACTGTTGCAGTCGCGCTGGGGAAGGAAGGAAAGGAGACCGAAGCTGAGAGGAGAGACAGAGAGCAACTTACCTGTGCTAATGAGGACAAAGGGGTCAGGGTTCCACGGGCCTTTGAAGCGCAGATCTTTTATGGGCTCGTTAAGGTCGCTCTTTTTACCTTTCGAGGCTTCCTGCTTGGCCTCGTCTCCTTCTGCTGGTGCTGCAGCGGCTCCTTCAACGCCTCCCTCTTCTACAGAGAGAGAGGGAAGGAGAGGGGGCTTCTCTTCTTTTGGTTTTGCCGGTGTATCTGTTGGTGAGGATGCAGAGTCTTCTGGAGGCTCCCTATACACCTGAACGACTACCTCGGGCTGCTTAATGCTTGGGGCGATATAGCTGGAGAATGTACTAGAAGAAAAAGCCACGCCAGTTTGAGGCAACAAGAAGCGATGGTGGGGTGGAGGGTTCTTGGGCTCTTTAGGGGGTTCCCACGGGGCCTCCCCACGTGATTGTAGCAGGAAACCGTGTTGCTCCACCAGATCTTTTAGCCAGTCTCTCCTAGGCCCTCTATCATATCTGGGGGGATGGCCCCGAGGGAAGGCCCTCAAGGAGACTGCTGAGACGGAACCAGACACAGTCAGCAGCAGCAGCAGCATAAAGAGACTCCTGCATGCAAGGATCTGCTGCAGCAGAGCCCAGCTACGTACTCCCCCACAGTCACTAAGTCGCCCCCCCCGGCCTCTGGCGGCTTCACCCATTCTGCAGGGAATGGCCCTGGGGCCCCCGGGGGCCCCTCCACTTCAGAGACTGCAGGAGCCCTTCTGCTGCAGGTTCTTCTGAGCTCGCTTGCCCCCGGCGCCGCTGCCGCGGCCGCCGCAGCCGCAGCCGCAGCCGCAGCAGCAGCAGTGGCTCAGGAGCAGAGCAACAACAACAAAGACTGGCAGCGCTTGAAAGGAGACTGAAGAAGATCTGCCGCCTCGGCCTCACAGCCACGGGATTCTGGCTGAGACGCTACTCTCCCTGGGGAGTATGGGAAGCCCAGCAGGGAGACACAAGCACGGCCACCTGTCTCTTCTTCAGAAAACCCCTTTTAAAAACTTTGCATGCAGTAAAAAGAGACAAATTTTGAAGATTAGGAAAGAATGAGAGCACCAGAACCAGAAACAACGACGAAGGCCTCAGGGTCCCTTCGGAGGCCCCTCCCAACAGTGGTCATGGGCTTAAACCCTAGGCCTTAAACCCTAAACCCTAAACCCTAAACCCTAAACTATAAACCCTTATAATATAAAAACCATTTAAAAGGAATATTTCCACCCCAGCAACAGCATAGCGCCTCTAGCTCCTCTGCCTGGACGCATGAGGCCCAGCGCTGCTTTAAGAGACCGGAGAAGACAAAAGGAGACAGCTGTCTTTCAAGAGGGTCCCTGAAAGGCTTGTGAGCAGGCTCAAAGCAATCCTTATTTATGTTTTTTATAAAATGAAATACATTATTTAATACACCTGGGGCCTTAGTTCTCTCCATTACCCGCAAGATAGAGAAGGAGAAGGCTGTACGCACAGCGGGCCCCTGCAATTTGCTGTCTCCTTTGCTGTCTGCTTTGTTTGTTGCACATATATTTTTATTTGCCTCTTCTCCTCTGAATTAATTTAATTCTACAAAGACATTGGGAAGTTCTTTGCATGCCGACTGTCCTTTATTCTCCCTAGCTCGACACAATAACTGTCTCCTTAGCAGCCTGCCTCCAACAGAGACACAAGATATACACCTGAGACATACAGCTACACACAAACGTCTCTGCCTCCCCTCCTATATTTTTTGTCTCTTCTGGCTGTCTCCTCCTGGCCACTCTGTGTCCCAAGTGCCCCTCATAGTGAGACAGACACCACGGGAGGGGACACCTAATAAGCGGCTGTTACTATGCAGATAGCTATATCTCTCTGTCTCCTCCCTCTTAATCCTCTTGATAGCTTTGACTTCCCCTAGCTGTCTCCGTTGCTGCTGCCTGGGTGTGGGGTGTGGGCGTGTCTGAGTCTCCTACTGTTCGGTGAAGCTGAATATTTTGCTAACTGTCTCCTTTAAACTCGCTGACTGTATCAGCCTCCTCCGCTGCCTCCTCCTGTCTCCTAATTGCGTGCTGTAATCTCTGCCTCTCTTTCTGCTTCTGGGTTTAGGGGGGACAGGGAAGAAGGAGACAGATAGATAGATAGATAGATAGATAGATAGATAGATAGATAGATAGATAGATAGATAGATAGATAGATAAATAAACATATATATATATATATGTATATGTACGAAGAGAGAAAGAGAGAGAGAGAGGGATACCGCAACACTGGGTACATACCTGCGTATACACCGTACACTGGTGGGGAAGGCCTGCCCAGGGCAGTGCTGCATAAAGGAGACACGCTGTGCTATCTCTCTTCTCTAGTGCTGAACCATTTCGTCTCCTTTTCTCATTATAAGATTCATTTTCTCCGTTAATATATACATACATATAAATATGTATATGTATATATATATATATATATATATATATACATATACACACACACATATATATATATATGCATATATATATATATATACCCCGTTAAGGTTCATTGGCCTTATCTATACAAATTTGGTGTTGCTGAGTTATGCTAAAGGCTTTGCTAGGCGGCAGCAAAGAGAAGGAAGGCACGCTTCTGACTGTCTCCTTGCAAGAGACAAACGCAATCATACACCATATCAAACCACTGTAGCCTAACCTCTTTCCTCTGCAGCCCCTGCGTTGGAAGCAAAAGAAGGGGTTTGCTGATTGGCTAACAAATTTGCTTCAAGAGCTCCCTATACACCCGGAGAAGCAATGTAAGGAGGGTGCAGCCCCAAAGAATGCAAACCCAAAAGGCTCTCCTTTGCCTTCTTAAGGCCAGGTTTATATATATAATACATACGTATATATATATTTATATATATTTATTTATTTATATTAATGCAGACAATACGGTATAGGTACTAATTTAGTTCGTAAAGAATATAATAATAAAACAAAAATATGTTGAACTAAAAACTCCAGTAACTATTATGTTTGATGATGCTAAAAAACTAATTTTAAATGTGTGTGTGAGTATACACTCATATATTAATGTGCATCTATATATATATATATATATATATATATATATATATGCACCTAGATATGGATATAGACAAACCTATATACGGAATATATTAATATGCACATGTAGATATATACATATGCATGTATATATGTTGCTGTAGGAAAATATTAGAGAAGGAGGCCTGAGCTCTTAAAAAGAAGCATGCAGCCCGTCAAGGCGCATGCGCGTACACCGGAGGAGTCAGCAGCTGTCCCCACAGACAAGGGCGTTGGTGTGGGGCCCCTCGGCCGCTCTGCTGTGTATAGAGCCCCACAGCAGCACTATAAAGGTGCAGAGGGGGAAGACAGCAGCAACACTTACGCAGATGAACAGCTCGAAGGGGGGAGCTAACCTGTTTTGCACATACTAATAACAACGGAGAGAAAAGGGAGGAGGGAGACGGTTTGATGCCTTCTGCTGCTGCAGCAATTAGGAAGGAGACAACTTTCTTCTGTCTCCTTTCTCTAACAGAAGGTCTCTGGCTCGCCAGTCTTTGTAAATTTGTTGGGCTTCTTAGTAGCACACACATCAAACTTAAGGAGTAGTTCCTCCTTCACAATCACATCAAGCGCTGACTGTTGAGCTGTACCTTTAGGGCTTTGCTGCTCTTGTGATGAAGAGTCTGTGGGGGAGTCATGAGGGGATTGAGGTCTATCGGCTCCCTCTGGGGACTCGCTTCTTCTATCTTTGTCTCTAGCCACAGCCCCTTGCACAATATCATGTAGCATCTGAAGCAGCAACAGAGCAGCAGCAGCAGCAGCAGCAGCAGCAGCAGTTGGTGCTGCTAAGCAGAGCAAACAAGAAACGCAGCAGCTATCTCTATCTGGTGCTTTACCCTGTTGCAGTTGTGTGTGTCTTCTGTGTCTCTGTTATCTTTACTTCTACCTCATGTTCTCTAAGGCCCCCTTTCTACTACCCTCTCTCCCTCCCCCTCGCTGCTATTCAGGTGTACAGCAAACTGCTTCTTAAAAAGCACTTTGCCGTACACCTCAATAGCATTTATCATTCACAGTCAATTATTACATAATACCCCACAGCTGCATGCATATGCATATGTATATACATATATATATATGTAAATATAGGTAGATAACTAGATAGATGGATACATAGGTAGATTGGGTGATATATATATATATATATATATGCATATATACATATGCAGATATATGAATAGATAGATGGGTGAAAAGATAGATAGATAGATAAGTGGATATACAGATAGATAGATAGACAAATAGATAGATGGATAGTTTATATATCTGTGTGTAGATATGTAGATAGGCAGATAGGTAGACAGACAAATACGACGAGAGAGAGAGAGAGAGAGAGAGAGAGAGAGAGAGAGAGAGACAGAGAGAGAGAGAGAGAGACAGAGACAGAGAGAGACAGATACAGGAAGTGGATAGAGAGAATGTTGAAGGTATTTGGGGAGTTGTTATTTTATGATTAGTGTCTCCTTATGTCTTTAATTTCTGTATATTTAATATGTGTTTGCGTACGCCAAAGTCTAGCCCAGTGGCGATCTCAATAATGGAGAGAGGGACCCTCGTTCCATCTAAGGTGACATCCCTGTCCATTCCTTTGTTGGGGATTGTGAAACCCCCTACTAAGATGGGTGGGAGGAGGCAAACAGATTGAGGATTTGCTCCTTTTCGTTTATGTGCAGCCTTTTCTGCAAATGAAAGACCTTCTTCTTTAGGGTATGCCCCCTGTTTATGGGTTTTGTTACTGCGCTTACACTTGTTATTTACTGCAACAATTACTTTAAAAAAATGTGTTGGCACTTGTATTAAATGATAGCCTATAGTAAGTACCGATGCATGCATTACAGGGGGAGCCTCAGATGTTGCATCTTCTAGTCCAATACGCCATTCACATACAGCAAAGCCTTCTCTTAAATGGGG